GTAAAAATTTTGAACGTGCATTTCCCGTTGTGTATGAGAAGGGAAATCCCGTCTCGATCTCGTCTCGAAATTTTATGAGAAATAAAAAATCTCGTCTCGTCTCGTCTCGAACTAAAAATCCAATCTCGTCCATCCCTAGTAATAGGTCGTCGATTTGTTTTCGTAATGCTTCGAGCTTTGGCGGTGCGAATTGGTACGGCCTACTCCTTACAACCTGCTGAGATTTTAATTTTATGTCGTAGTGTATCAATTTTGTTTGCCCTAATCGTTTCGATACTGTGTTTGGAAATGACTGTAATAATTTGTGTATTTGTTGTATCTGGTTTGGTGTCAAATTATCGCCCAAGGTGTAAGTTTTGTCTTCCTGTAGATTACTATCGTGTTGGTCTGTGTGTAATATGGCCATGACCGGTCTTGTACCGTATGGAAATGTTACATTGTGATTCGCCACGTCGATGATTGCTTTTGTTTTTGTGAGGAAATCTAACCCTAATACAATGTTTATTGGTAATTTAGGTGCTATTAGGAAACTGAATGTCCAAGAGAAGTGTCTAATTTTAAAGTGTAGCTTTGCCATGTGCGAGAACATTACCTTGTCGCCTGAGGCTGAAACAGCAAATTGATTGATCGGAGTGATTGATTTTGTAATTAAGTGATTATTTTTGATTCTATCAAAAAGGGATCGTGAGCAAATTGACGTCGTAGACCCTGTATCTATGAGTGCATTTGTTTCAATGTCGCCGAAAAAAATTGGTACTGTACATGTTTTTAATTTAGGAAAGTTTGGAGCATTTTTGTTTTTATGGCTATGTGTGTGTGTGTTTTGGTTGATTGTTGTGTGTGAATAGGCGCTATGACGTGTCGGAGGTGCGAGAGCGCCAATTATCGGCCTCCTCTGGAGTTTAACTGTGTATTGTGTGTAGGTGTGTGTTGGTCTGCAGGGTTGGTGGGCGGGCGGTAGTGTCTGGGGTCATTGACCTGCCTCGGTGCGCCGTGAAATGCACTGTTATGCACTGGTGTCCTATAGTATGTATTTGGCTGCATATGTGGTCGATGTGGGAATCTTGGTTGCCCATGTGGCTGTTGCATGTATTGTGGTGTGTATTGCCTATGTTGAGGTGTAAATTGCCTATTTTGAGATGTGAATTGCCTGTTTTGAGGTGTGAATTGCCTATTTTGAGGTGCGAATTGCCTGTTTTGAGGTGTAAATTGCCTATTATTTTCTGCTCTGGTTTCCCATCGGCGTGATTGCGAGTTGCTACCCTCCTCTAACTGTCTCACAACTTCTAATTTTGGGATAAGCGCTATTAATTCATCAAGTTTGGTCGGCGGCGGAAACCCTGCAAGACGTGCCCTATTTGTCGCGTTTATACCTGTCAATATTACCTCCAGTAAGTCGTATTCTGTTGGTATTAGGATTTCTGCTGACTCTTTCACCTGGATAATGAAATCTGAAAGTGACTCGAATTGACCCTGTACCCTATAAACTGTTTGAGTCAGGAGCTGTTGCTTTGCCCTTTCTGGGAGAAAGGTACTAATTATAGTAGGAATTGTTTTACCCTTGACCTCCCAGTTCTCCTGTAATGCCATGGTCCAAATATCCCTTAATTGTCCTGCTGTTTTGTGTAACAATGCTATCGTGATTGATTTGTCGTCGGCTAACTTTAATTTCTCAATTTGAATGGCCGTTTTCAAGAAGGCTAACAATTTGCTTGTGTCCGTGCCGTCGCAGTTGGGAGCTTTCGACGCTAGTTCGTCGACTAATCTCGGGTTTGTGTGGGTGTGTGTTGATTGTGTTACTGGTTTGTTTTGAGATAAAGCTTGAGCGATTGAATCGCCTATGGCTTGGGCTGTGATTCTAATCATTTCCGCCGTCTGATCCGCTAAGATGGGTGTGTTTTGTTCCGTGGGTTTTGGTGTGTCTGGTACCGTTGGCACTTGCGCTGTCACCGCGTTCTTTAAAATGACCCTATTTTCTTCCAGTGTCTTGGCTGGGGTTAAGCCCCACTTCTCGCACTGTAGAATTGCGCTTTGCGCATCAAAATCTCGTATCCATGATACCCCTGTGGGTTTTGTTTCCCACTCGTAAATCTTGGACATCTTGCCTTGATCTACTATTATTTGAATAGTAAAAAATTCAAGACCTAAAAACCTTTTTGATATCAACTATTTTACCAAACAGGTGGGAAGAGTTTGGGCTGGGCAAATTGTAATTTAATAAGACAAAGAGAGAAATTATTTAAAAAAAAGGTGTGAATTTTGCCTAATGATTGTATTTTACTGCAATTGGTGTGTCAAATGTTTGACTAAGATCTGATTCCCTATATTGTTCAAATGTATGTCGTCCCTACGATTTGAATGTCTGTACGTGTGTAAATAATATTTATTTGAATTTAAAACATGTGTTAGAAAAATTGGCTGGGTATTTTGATTTGACAATGTGTGTAAAAATGTGTTGAATTGAGTAATTTTATCTATTGTGTGTGGTGTATATTCTGACCTAGGGAAATATGGTAATCCTAACAGTATCAACCTGGTGCCTAGATAACGTTTCCTGATTACCCTGAGCAATGATACATATTGCTGTGTCATCATTGTTATTGATGTATTGCTGAATATGTCATTGGTTCCTATCCATAACAATAATGGTATTTCACTGTTGAAATATGGATTTGTGATTTTGATTTGTTTCTTTAATTGTCCAATTGTTGCGCCTGAAATTCCCATACTGTATTCTAATTTTAATTTACTACCTTCTCGGTTAACAAAATATTCCAGACGTTTAGTCAGTGAATCGCCGAGTATTTGAATTTGTATCATATTACGGTATCAAGGTGGTCGAAAGAGTGTAGCAGGGTAATGGCATGTCGGTATGTCGGAATTCTTTTGTTTGGTTGTAGTGTCGGGCCTGCATGTTCAAGGTCGCTGCGAGTGAATGAAACTTTGTGAACTGTAAAATATAAAACTGTAATGCATTTTATGTCTGACATCTATTGCTGTACTGATTGTTGTGTTATTGTTGTACTAAATTACATGAAATTTTATGTAAGATAATAATTTGTTAATGTGAACAATGAATTGACTCTGTGGTTTTGGCTCGATTCAGAAGGAATCAACACTGTCAATTAACGGCCTAAATTGACTGAAATGTTGCGAAGTGACGATTTACTCAAGCAAATGTTGTTAACAGGCTCTTGGCTTTCTTTTGATTATGTAGTACATTTTTTTTTACATTTATTATTATTATATATTTTTTTTTTACGTTTTAAATGTTTTTCTGTTTTTATATTTATTTTATATATTTATTTGTATTTTTGTTTAAGATGAGCCTGTAATAACTGTGTGTAATGTATATTTAAATCGTGTATGTTTGCTTGGAAATAACAAATCTGGCCTTAAATCGTCGCTTTATCTTTGAACTTCTGTTATCTAACATTCCAGTTCTGTTCTAAGTCTGTCTGGCCTATTAATGACATGGACTCTCAACTTTCACTAGCCCACCTCAAATATCAAAACTTTGCTGAACAACTTAAATTCTAAACACAACTTAAATTAAGGTGATGAGTTACAACTAAAATATGTCAGACTACGCTTTAAAATACTATTTTAATCATTAATTAATTCACTGCAGTACCCTTTCGGCTGTAAAAATTATGAAATAAAAATTTTTGGGGATATTTATGACTTTTTGGGGTTGGGGAGGTGACATACAAATGAATTTAAAATTCCCCCCAATTTTGAATTTTGATTTTTTGGTCGTGGCCTGTAAACTATACTGATGTGCACTTTGACTCCTAATATTTTGCTTTCGGTAATAAAAATATTCATCAAACACTCATTCGGCCTGTCGTCGAGGTATATTTAGTTTAATTACTGCCTTTCAGACTTGATGTCGAACTCGTGAGTGATTACATAAATGCATTTAAACATATTTATCAACTTGGTTTGGTAAAATATTAATAAAAAACATCAAGGTTCTCCTAATTCTACTTTGAAATTAAAACATTCTCATTAAAATTGATTTTTAAATTTTCCTTGGAAATAAAATAAATTGAATGATATTGATTCACATTTCATGACGTGCCTAGCTATGCATGCTCGTGCGTTCCAGGCCGCCACGTGGTGCCGACCTGTAACCTGTCGATTTCCTGTCTGAACAAAGCACCTGGCTGGTCTGAGACACGTTTTAATCTATTCTATTTCTGTTAAAATTGCATTTTTGGCCGGATCTTGACGCTCTGCTACCACTATGTGATGATGTGGAGTAGTATGAGTGTAAATGAAGATACCTGGGCCCTATATATCTTCCTCTAGCCACTGCCAAATCACCCACATTTCCTGTCGTAACCCAACTCTATTGCAAGAATTAATCTAACTCGTCAAAGTGCACAATATTACCTTAGCTGCCTATCACAGCCAGCTTTTATGTTCATAATGTATCTAATTATAATATAATGAACAGAGAAATATATATATATGGACTTATTCTAATTCGTGAAAAAGGTTACTAGACTTAGCAAATGTGAATTCTAATTTACGATATTAATTGCCAGACCACGACCCTTCGAGAACCTAATAAACTACATGATTGAATTACTTTTTGCCCCAACCTACACCCTTTCCCCAACCCCTACTTCTATTAGCTAGACATCTTAGGCTACAGTCTACTTATCCGATCAGATGTACAGCTCCAGGCGCTCGACACTACACTGAACTCGTCTCTTGGTTCGCTGCGCGTGCCTACCCGGGTCGACTGCGCGCGCATCGTGGTCACGTGACTTGCGCTATTGTAGCGGTCCGCTACACATTTATCCTAAAAAAAAAAAACATATAAACAACATTTAGCGATTTACAAAGTAGCAAATTCTAGTTTCAAAACCTCAGAATTCCTGATAATTAAGTTTACCAACTGTAGTAAACACTACACTACACTAGCTTTTGATAAAAATGTTGTGATTTTACATATTTATTTTCATTTTCTGACTTTTTACCTTAGGAAGCAGGCCATGGATCTAGTAATGCAAGGGAGGACTGGAATAAAACTATCTAAAGAAACAAAAAACCAAGAAGGAACTTATAGTTTTAAAACAAGAGAAAATTGCCAAGATATTTCAATGGAGGACAACAATGTAATCGAAAATATTCCTGAAACAAGTGAAGAATACACTCACAAAATAAAAACAACTTTTGATCCTTTACTGAAGAAGATTTTAGAACCATTAAAAGCCAAATCCTTCCGAAAAATACTGTATCAAAATTGTCTCATTGATTCTCTTATCCGTCACAAAAGCTTCTGCCCGCCAATAGATGTTGAACAATTGTGTAAGTACATCATTATGAACGTTTGTCATCTTTAGTGATGTGTCAACACCAAATCTCAAAACCATCAAAACTTTAGAAAAGTTTTGGTTTCGAGATTCGATCACCGAGTTTCGAGAGTCAAAAGTTTTGAAATTGAAGATTTTGGCAGTTTTATTTTTGAAACTGCTGACATGTTTTGTGTCATTATTGTTAATAACTAACACTGTTTCCACACAAGTTTGTAGTAATAGAGCAAACATATCAACCTCTAATGTTTGTAAACTACAGTAATAATTATTAAAACATGACAGAAATTTGTTATTTATCTACCAACCACCTTAACTAAGGAACCTTTAGATTTGTATTTTAATGGCTAAACTTTAGAAACATTCAAGATATAACTACAAACCTTCAACCATGTTTATTTTGTAAAATATGTTTGCCTGGAAGCAAGGATCAAATCCACCAGAGAAATGTGAGTTTCTGAACACCCTGATGTGAATATTTGTAAAAAAAAGAGTTTTGGTTTAATTTTTTTTATTGCATTCTAGCTGAGTCACAAGCACTGGAGTTGATGTCTCTACTGGAAGATTTGTGGAAAGAGATCATTGAAGGTTTGCAAGCCAATGACATTCTGCACTGTCTGTTGAAACAGCTGATATTACATGAGGACCAGCTGATGTCCAGTCAGCTGTGGTTGAGGCTTGTCAGTCAGCTGATCGCTGGTCACCCCCCACCCCACCCTCCTGGAACCCTTGAAGTATCTCAAATGGTCATTGAGGCCCTACCTACTGCAGTAAAACCTGAGGTATGATATAATTTTATACCCCTTCCCTTAAGTACAGTCCCAATAATTTGTTTTCCACCAACCCTTGTGTTTATGGGGATCTTATGCCCAGTTTATGGAGATTCAATCTTCTATACATTGTGCATTGGGCAGAGTATGGTCATGTAATGCCATATTGACTTATGAGGTGAATATTACAGTGTTGGGAAGTAGCGCGCTACAAGTAGCGACGCTACAGTAGCGCGCTACTTTTTTTGTAGCGTTAGCTGTAGCTACGCTACTTTTAAGATTTTGTAGCTTTAGCTGTAGCTAGCTACATTTTTAAAGTAGTTGTAGCGGAATTTTAGCTACTTTTCTCGCTACATTAACATTTGTTTGAGATAGTGATTTAATCATAACCTCAACCTTACGTGAAACAACCTCTTTCAAACTGAGATTTTCAAAAAAATTAGGCCTACTTTCTTGGCTTCAAACAGCTGGTTGCAGCCGTTTCATTCCCTATTACAACGTTGTGTGGACATAGAGGCCATTAAATGAGTGTTATCCACATTGTTGGCTCTCATTTCCTTAATTTACTACTCTATGATTACTGTCACATAAAATAAAATCGCTAGATGCAGACGACGTTTAAACAGTACCGGTGACAAGAGAAGCTATTGAATTGAATGCTTGCAAGTGATTGACAGGACAGGGGAATTAGTAATCAATTTAGTTTCTTTATTATATCGATAATGCTTCAACTTGGGGTTTAATGGAAACCAACACACCTTGAAGTAATGAGAAAGCTGGTCTATCGACCTTTGCTTCAGCTGTTGATTGTGGTTTATCATCACAAGCCCTTCCTTGGTTAGATTACGAAGATTTTTCAAAGGTTTACTAAATTAGCAAAGAGGAAATTACCTGATGAGATTTAAGATATGCCTAGACTACATGATAATTGTAATGAAAAAATCTCCATATAACATGAAACTTACATTGAAAAAATAGCATAGTTTGCTCCTGCTAACAGCTCTTGTATAGGACTGAGGCTATGGTTTAAGACGAATACCAAGTTCAATTATTATGAATATATCTGTTTAGTCCTTGCAAGAACAAGCCTACTATAGCCAACTTGTTACATAGCCAAGTAGGCCTACATGTTATTTTTACTTTACAAATTTCATCATGTTTAAATTAAAAGCCGATTTCAGGATAAGTTGCTGAATACTGTTTTCTCTACCAACTAGGTTGAAGCACAATTTGCCCTATGCATAATGACAATAAAGGACGATTTCTTGACATTGAAAAGTGTTATTCGTAGAATAAGTAATTTATCACTTTAAAAGTTATAGCAATGTTGTTTTTAACATTAAAAGTAAAGAAAGGCAATAAACTCCAATTTCAGTAGGCTAGGCTCTGTAACACAAAAAGTATTTTTAAATAATCTTTTTGCAGTTTTATTGGTCTTAATTGTTGATATAAAACATCTATAAATGAATCTATATTAAATTAATAAAATTAGCTTTTAAAATATAGTTTGGTTGTATGTCCTTTGAACTTAATGAAAATTACATTTTAAGATGCTTAAAAATAATGCAATATTTAAAAATAATTACTAAATATGATGGGACACCCATCTATTTGGTTCTGTTGTTGTAATGTTAGGTTTATAATGCCAACAAATTAAATACAATCTAGGAATAATTTGTTTTCCAAGTAATGTTAGATACAATACTGACATTTTTTTTAATGTTTGTTCAATAAAAATGTAGTTGCAATTAATTTTACATTTACCTAATGTGCGTGGAATAAAAATTAACGTCTTTGGAAAAGTAGATAAAATTGTAGCTGTAGCTACATTTCATTGTAGTTGTAGTTGTAGCTAGCTACTTTTTCGGAACTGTAGCTGTAGCTGTAGCTAAGCTACTTTTTTGGAAATGTAGCAGTAGTTGTAGCTAGCTACATTTTAAAAGTAGCTTCCCCAACACTGATTTCAATACATTTTGACAGTATTAGGAGGCATGGGTAAAAGATGAATACCAAATTAAATCATATTGGTCCTTCATTTTATTCAGGTATTGATTACGGACATTTTCTTTGAATGAAACACAACAGTGTAATTATTGGGTTTTTTGTCAAATTAGGTTTAATTTTTTCATGCATTTTAGGTGTTAAAAATAAGGGTAAATCTGCTACATATGCGGTATAATAAACCTATGGAACTGAAGTCAGCATCAGCAGATGAACTACATGTGCTGCAAGAGTTGGGTAGGAGAGTTTTAGATCACCCCACAAGATTCACCACCCAGTATTTGCACAGGTAACTGAAGACTAGATGTGTAATTGCCTCTCCAAATTGTCTTTCACAGCTTTTGTTCAAATTCTAGGCTAGGATTTTGAATTGTAGTATAAAAGTATAAAAGCTTGTAGTAAACAGCTAGCTTATCTTAGGAGGCAGGCAGAATAGTTTTATTTTAAATTCTTTTATATGATAATTAGTTTGATGTTTTAAGATTTTAATGTTTTTTCACTTTTCACTCTCTACAAGCAATTCACAGATTTTAATTTTTTTCTCTTATTTAATATAATATTGGCTACATCTGGGACCATGCTATTGGTATATATACGGTATGTTTACTTGAGTATTCAAAAGTCAGCGATACTGTTTAATCAAAATAATTCCTATAAACAATCTCTCAATAATTTTATCAGGTTTTGAGCATGATTTCTTTTCAAAAAACTCATCACCAGAACATTCTCAAGAGGTAAACAGTTCATTCTGTTATAGTAGTGGTCCTCATTATAATTATTGTATCTCTAGTTTGCTGAGCCTGTGGGAACCCCGGATGAGTTGGGAGACGAGAGAGAAACTGTGTGCTCTGGCGAGGATATACAACGGACAACAGCCTCTGAGGAACCCTCCGACTCAGGTGTACACCTCCGCGTCTTTCCTGGGGGAGCAGGAAGAGAAGGAGGAGGTGATGTCCACTGAGAGTGCGGACAGTCAGTCGTCTCCCTGGACACTGTATACTGGTAAGTCCTAACGGAAAGTCTAAGATATGGTCTTGATTGTGCTGAAACTTAAGCTGACCACATATAGGTGAACAGAAAGGTTGGTTAACTTAAAACCAAGTTTAGTATATTGTAAAAATGCAGGAATGTAATCGCTCTAAAAAAAAAATAAAGATTTTAAAAGTTCATTAAAAATAATTTTAGAGATGTGTGATTAAGATGTGTATTTTTTTGGCAGGAGATGCAGATTGGAGTCAAAGTGCCTTAGGAGCTTTACCACAGTGAAAACTACAATAAAGGAGTTTTTTAAAAAAAGGTTATATTCTTTATACCCCAAATCACTATCCTTATACAGGGTGTCCCGGAACTCTCTACCAATATTTTAGGGCATTGATCCTGGGTAAGAAACGTACCTAAATATCATATTTAAATTGTCCGGAAGTCCTTAGTTACTCACACAGCCGCCATTTTGTTTTTTTCAGTTATTAATTTTTTCCTAAAGAATGGTTAAACATACGGAATGGAAACTTTGCACAAACATTTATGACAACTAGACAAAGCTACAAAAAAATTATGAAGATTTTTAAAATTCATAAAACAAAATGGCGGCCATTTAAATTTTATTTCTTAAATAACTCAAAAACCATTGATTTTACAAAAATGTTAAATGGCCGCCATTTTGCTTTATGAATTTTAAAAATCTTCATAATTTTTTTGTAGCTTTGTCTCGTTGTCATAAATGTTTGTGCAAAGTTTCCATTTCGTATGTTTAACCATTCTTTAGAAAAAAAATAATAACTGAAAAAACAAAATGACGGCTGTGTGAGTAACTAAGGACTTCCGGACAGTTTAAATATGATATTTAGTTATGTTTCTTACCCAGGAGCAATGCCCTAAAATATTGGTAGAGAGTTCCGGGACACCCTGTATATAACACGTGAAGACAATTTCTACAAAACACTACTCTTCCTTTGATAATGGACGGATTTTTATAAACGATGTGTCAAAATTAAGTATTTTTTGTGTAGACCAATTCACCAATTCCTGTAATAAAAGTCCTCGGGCTTTGCCCCAGACCATCAAAATCCTAATGTATTTCTTATGAAGAAAAGATTTTGTTTACTTAACACGGCGCATAATTTGTAATATTTACAAATGTTCATAGTAAACACATGATACACACGAGAGCGTTCATTTTCAGTTTCAATAACTGGAGTGGAGGGATTCTGTTAATCGGAGTAACTTTATTTAAAAGTTTGAGATTTTGATCTCGGCGTGACTTGGTCTATTTTCTATCAAAGACTCAGAATTTCGGTAAAAATCCAATTTTCCGAATTGTTGATTATCCGAATGGGGTCCGGTCTGGTCCCAATTGATTCGGTTAGTTGGAGTTACTCTATTCAAAAGTTTGAGATGTTGATTGGTTATCTAAGACAACTTTCTGCAACCTATGTAATTTCTGAAAAAATCAATTCACCCTCAAGGAAATTATTAAGCTGGTTTCAAATCAACATTATTGACTCAAATTACTTAACAATTTTATCTGATTTTTAGGGGAGCACAATACACAAAATGCACAAATAGTTATTGGAATTCTGTTAATTTTAAAATTAAGTTGTGAAAACTCAGTGTTGTCTGCTGGTATTGCAATGACATCACAGGTTTACAGTATGATTATGGATCAAAAATGGTTTCTCTTGCAATTTCGTACTGCTTTATTTGTACTGTCTCAAAAATAGACTGATACATCCAAAGTTCAAAACCAGGCAGTCATCCCAGATGCATTTTACATTAACAAATTCATTTAATGAATCGAGGCACAGGGAAAAAATCCACACCCATTTAAAAATGTAAAAATTTAATGTTAAATCTTGACATGCTAACAGAAAAAAGTTATGACTTGTACAAAAACGTGAGCACCTCAAGAGGTGAGTTTATCCCACCGCCAGATGGTTCCATCATCACACACTGCGAGCAGCACCGAGCCGTCGCGGGAGAGGCTGGTCTGTCGCACGGCTGAGTTACATCGTGGGTGAGCTAACGTAGCAATCCTCGCTTGACCAGGGTCGCCAACACTCAGGTCCCACACAAACAAACGTCCGTTCTGGTTACCCAGAGCCAGGTACTGCAAGCATAACAGTTGTCAATGCACAACGTTGTGGGGATTGTCCCTAACAGCTACAGTATACACTTTGTACTGTATAATAATATACAATAAAGCCTAGTATTATTGTGTTCTAATTATAGTTTTGGTTATTCGATGGTCATACAGCCCATAAAATTTATTCTGCCCCATTGTTCATAAAATGAAACTAAAACAATAGTGCTTGCAACACAATTTGATATTTCATCCTAATATAAAGCTTCTGATAGTATACCGGTATTGGTGTATCCATCATGTATTCATTCTTTCAAACTTGATCTCTAAGCCAAGTAATCTCTCCAAAATAAGAACGGAAACATAAAAAATTACATTTTGATTCTGCAATAGTTTCAATATTAAATGCATTTGTATATGAATAATGTCTTACAAACCAATACACGTCAAATAAATTACTTGTATTTCAAATTTGCTTATATCTTCTAAAACCTGGTGAAAAGATGTGTCAACTGCTTAAATCACATCAACTTTTGTTTGCAAAACTGGGCTGTATTGAGAAATTTCTTAGATAAAACCACTTACTTTCTGCCAGAAATCCATTCCAAAGCGTATGAACCAAATTTCACACTCTTTGAATTCAAACTTGTGTACGATCTGAATGTTTGTTTCATTAAAGCGAAGTTGGTCGTCTTCTAGTCGACCTGGTTTCCAACACACGATGCAGTTTTCACATGACTGAAATACAACGAATACAGCCATCAAATAAGAATACTAGGTAGCCTTTTATAAAAGTACGACAAAGAAGGGTAAATGTTATTTCTGAAAAAAGGGACTACTACTTTAAATTTCTTACCAATAGGCTATGAATGTTTTTCTTGTTTGCTCAAGCAACAACTCACCTTAGACAAAATGAAGTTGCCAAACCATCTGACACAATCCACATAGTTTCTGTGAATATCTCTTGTGGAGAAGTCGGGGAAGTGTTCTTTGAGGGAGTCAAATGGACGAGTGCTGCGACTGGCGTTGAAGTCATACGAGGCTACCACAGCCTCCTCTATGTGATCTTTGTCCAGCCTCCACAGCTTGAGTGAGTGATCCATGCCACAAGACATGATGCGCTTGCCGAGCAGGTCAAAGTCCTGAGACAACAGATTTCAAAATATACATTTTGTTTTGTCTTACTGAAGGGATTGAAAATACTGGTTAACTTCTTTGTGAGCAGAAGAAAAAATGTTACCAACCATGAAACTAAGATAGGTCTATACTCTCATTCGTGTTGTATAGAGGTAATTCTAATCACTAGAGTGCTGTAAAGAGTACCAGACAGCAAAACACATTTAAATATTACTTTAGGAATTGTTTTAACAAAGGGTAGAGTTTAGCTTACCAGAAAAAAACTATACACCTAGAGGCTTATAAATACACAAATAAAAGATCACAAAATCAATTGGCTTTTCTTAATATTATATCATTGAGTATACACGTACTAAAGTAGTCACTCAATGGAGGTTATCGTTACCGGAACAGCGCTATTGCAGAGTAGCGTGCAAACTACTCCACCTCAGGCTTGTCGGTAAAGCAGTTTGGTTGTTTTTTTTTAATATTGCTTTCATTGTACGTTGTAAAATTTGTTTATTTGTTCATAGTTTCGTTGTTTTATAATAAATTTTTGATACTAAATTATTAAAAGGGCCTCAGAGGCGCACCGCACTACCGACAGACTACCCTGACCCAAGCGTCAGCGGCCCGAACTACGTTGCCAAAATCGCCTTCAGATTAAGCGAATTTCCATTTACCTGGCTTAATTTCTACAAAGATATTCCCTGTAAATATTGTAATTTTTTCCCTATTTAAATAACATTAAGTTAATTTTAATATGAGTACCTAGGTTTGCTGCTACAGGGAAGGCAGGTGTGTTTTTGTTGAAATGTTGATAGCTTAGTATGATTGTTATTGGTTTGCAAATCCTGGAATACTTTACAATTGCTCGAATTCGAGCAAAATGAACACTAGTTATATTTAAATTGAGACAGAAAATTTACTCAAAAAACAACAGTTTATGCTTCTCCTTACAGTAGCACATTTTTAATTTTTTAATCCCATGGAGCAAATTCCAACCTGTTTTTCTTACCGCACTCAAAACTTCGTCCCTGTGTCCCTCAACGCCTCCGAAAATTGCAATACAAACGTCAGTCTTGATGTTCCACAGTCGCAGAGTGTGATCCTTGGACACAGACAATAACAAGTTGGGGTCCCGAGGGTGAAACTTTAACTCGTTTATTGCATGACCGTGACCTGGGAACAGGCACTCAGATAAAGAAAGGTATTGTACACAAATTCTATTCTAACACATATGGATTTCAATTAAAGTACTGTAATGTAGCTTTTGTATCGATTCGAAAAATCATACTTACACTATGTAGGTGATTTTTAAGAAACAACCCGTCCTGCATACCCGCGTTCAAAGTTAAGTACCATTCCCCTCTCCGACAGTCGTACCACAGTATAATCGGGGTCGGATCGGAAGGGTGTATGACAAGTCTCCGCCTTAACGGATATACCTCCCTTTGAAGTTAGAATGTGTCTTCCCAAATAATATTTTCTTTTGAAATAAAATCATATTACACTGATGAAATCACGGAAGTGTTAAACTTCAAAAGATCCATTAATACGATTTTAATACTATTTAAAGGTTCTTCCAAAGGAAGGGATACCATATCTAACATACTAATAATAACTCCGATGACATAAAGTATGGGGGAATATTTTATTCATTGAATGATCAACCAAATTTTGCAACTAACGCAATTAATATCATTATTGTTTTTACACTTATTACTCTTTAAAGAATGCTAAATGCTCAAAATATGTATATTTCACCTAATTTATCGCAGTTAGATGAATTAACGTAAGCCTTGAAAGTAACCGTCGATTTCGACGGGTTTCACCTAGTTATCTTTAATAGTTTATAGTTTGTTAAGCCCCATGTAAAACTTGCTAAAAATCTGATTTGAAATCAAGAATTATCAAGTAGAGACTTTTTACCATAATGAAAAAAAAGACAATTTGTTTGGTCCAGAGGAAAATTTTTCCCCAGAGATTCGCTGTTTGAATTGCACATTTAAAACTTGTATGGACTTACCAATGTAATGGCGGATGCAAGACATGGATGCAGGGCTGAGTATCCTGATGATACCATGGGATCCGGCAACTGCTAGGAGAGGTTTACCACTCTCCTCCTCATATGACCAGGCACAGGTGTAGAAGTTTTCATCTGCCTTTATTGTTATTAAAGAATAATAATTTATTCATGTCTACAACTTGGAAACAAAATTACAAGCATTCTATTAGGCCAGTAAAATTAGATAAAAATAATACATTTTGAGGAATTAATTCCCAGCAAGCTGGAAATCGTTTTAATACCTTCATTTGGTCCCAAATGAGTGTAATCTAAGTTTGCACTGTTCTAAGAGGTGAGCTTACATTATGGCAGCCTAAAATAAATTATTTTTAAGCACTTTTTTCAGTTTTTTCCAAGTTGCTGAAAAACAGTGTGTCGGACGCAAACAACGTCCTTTTAATATCAAAGAGGTTTGAATTCTGCGTAAAATGAGTATATAAATATCCAAATTCGGTTAATTAGTATAGCCAAAATATTAAGTTTTAAATGTATATATTTTTTTGTTTCATTGCATTTTACATTTTGCGACTTTCCAGAACCCCATACTATCTTTGAAAGAAACACACCCATGACCATTTCCTTTTCATACGGAGTAAGAGTGGGGAAAACAGCTGATCAAGTATTCCCAGCTGTTTCTAGCTGTATAGTACAGCAATATCATTGCTAAGTGGCTGTCATCAGTTACTTTGGAGGTAAAGTTATTATAAGAATTTTAAAAGTAATTGAGGGCGTTTACCAATATTTGTATTCGTTCATGAAAGTGTTATAACGTAGGGATCTGTTATCTTTATGATATGAGAGGCAGACTCTCTGTGGCCAAAACAGCTTACTTCGCACCGGTAGAGTCGCATCTTAGATATGGCTTGACAGTGTGGGGAGGAACTTCAACAAAAAATATGAATCGAATTCTTGTCCTTCAAAAGAAAGCCATAAGAGCCCTTGCCAACCTTGTACCACCACAGACTTGCTGACTAGCATTCGCAAACCTAGGAATCCTCACAGAGGTGTCTCTCTACATACTTGAAACCATTAAGTATGTGAATGAAATAAACCCCCCAAGAAACCAAGACCTGCACCACTACAACACCAGTCATGGCTCCAAATTTGCACTACCAGTTCACCGAACAACTCTTTGGGAGAAAAAACCTTCCTACACCGGCTGCAAGCTGAGGAACCATCTACCTGACTACCTGAGAGACCTGACTGGCAACAAGCTACACCAGGAGCTGAAGAAGTAGCTAATCGCAAGACCTTTCTACTCAATAAAGGAATTTTATGAAAATTAACATGTACAATTCACTATTGTATTGACACTATTGTAATTCTTAACGAATTAACAATAAAGAATATTGTATTGTATTGTATATTAAGTTTTGTGTTTAACATGTTCGGACATGAACGATCCTAAGTATTTAATCTGTTTGATTTTAATCATCCTAGGCGTTATACTCACACCACTATAGCAGCCTAAAATAAATTAAATTTCAAAATTTTATTTTATCTTTTGCTTGTAGCTCAAAAATAGTGCACCAGACAAATACATAAATATTCAAATTTGGTACAGTAGCATAGCCAATATCTTTGTTAAGAAATAGATAATTTTTTCATCTTATTGCAAACCATATTTAGCCCGGAAAGTCGACACCCCATCATACCACTGACCACCATAAGAAAAAATCTATAGAATTAAAGTTGTATAGTATAATATAACACGTTAAAAAAGTATTTCAATTGAAAATTTCACTCATTTTAAAAGACTTAATTTTGCATAAACCTTAAAATCGGGTTCCATAAACTGTCCTCTTGGCTGCACATCCAACATAAATGTTAGGATTTATCTCAAGCTGCAGTGGATTGTCAAAGAGACTGTCCTCACCTGTTTCTGCTTCTGCAGTGTTCGGTATGTGGGACACACCCTCATCTTCAAACTGCTGAGTTTGAGCATGACTGACCATGGCAGCTAAGGCAAATTGTTGAGCATTACATATCTACTTTTCGGCAGCTGCACTTTCCTGTACACCTCTTTGTACATCTGCATGACACTATATTGAGGATTTAAGTTGGAGCTGGATTCTTTGTGTTTATGGTTGGGAGTAAACCATGTTCCGCCATCCTCCAACCCCAGTTGAGTGGATCCACTGGTCTATCATACCAAAAGCTTTACAGCCCCCAGCAACGTGTTCTTCTCAAGGAGTTTTATAATCTTCAACTTCCCTTGGCGATAGAATACAGATAGTATTTCACCCACTGATTGCATATAGGAACAGAAGGTTCTCTTTGACAGGAGATAGAAGTTGAAATGCCTCGGAGAGTAAAACATGTTCTAAGAGGTCCACATTCCAGATTTCCTGAGGTAAAGGTTTGAGGAATTTGGTGCTTTGGCGGTTAATAGGACCAATAGATCTGTGTCCTATTCAATTATTATGACTTTCGCAAAGTTCTTAGCCATTTGAATGGCAGTGTTGGCAATGAGGGTATCAGCATCCTCAAGAGCTTATCCGACTTCAAACCCCTGGAGCACTTTCTCACTCAACATGGAGATAAGCCGTCCTTTGGTGTTGTAGTTAGAGAGAAATAGTTCTTTCAGCATGGTTGCAGTCAAAATTTTAGTGAAAATTACGTTTGCTAAGGATTGCTTGATTATTATTATCATTATTCGTTGTTGTTTCACAGAAGTTGAGGCCTCAACATGTAAAAGTCTATCACAGATAAAATACTCAGGATTGCATGTCCGAACATGTTAAACACGAAACTTAATGTCATAAAGATAACAGATCACTACATTATAACACTTTCTTGAACGAATACAAATATTTGTAAACGTCCTCAATTATTTTTAAAATACTTATAATAACTTTACTTCCAAAGTAACTGATGACAGCCACTTAGCAATGATATTGCTGTACTTATACAACTACAACTGCAAACAGCTGGGAATACTTGATCAGCTGTTTTCCCCACTCTTACTTCGTATGAAGAAGGAAAGGTCATGGGTGTGTTTCTTTAAAAGATAGTATGGGGTTCTGGAAAGTCGCAAAATGTAAAATGCAATGAAACAAAAAAAATATATATTTAAAACTTAATATTTTCGCTATACTACTTAACCGAATTTGGATATTTATATACTCATTTTACGCAGAATTTAATCCTCTTTGATATTAAAAGGACGTTGTTTGCGTCCGACACACTGTTTTTGAGCAACTTGGAAAAAACTGAAAAAAGTGCTTAAAAATAATTTATTTTAGGCTGCCATAATGTAAGCTCACCTCTTAGAACGGTGCAAACTCAGATTACACTTATTTGGGACCAAATGAAGGTATTAAAACGATTTCCAGCTTGCTGGGAATTAATTCTTTGAAAATTCCTTATTTGACTGGCCTATATTCTTAAAATGCATTTTAACGTTAAGCCTACATTTATATTATAAAAGGTATAATGTTACCTGGATCTGCCAGAGTAATCCAAATGCTGTCTAACGACTACGCGTTTCGAAGCAGTTAAGCTTCATCTTCAGGTCCTCAAGAACATGTTTCACTCATCAGAGGTCGTCAAATAAATATAATTTTTACACATACATGGACGGAGAATAGTTACTGTAGGCCTACGAACCGCATATGTCAACGTTAGGGTACTGGTCAGTGCAACCCCTTAGCGAACTGAGTTAATGTGCCACCATCGCTCGACCATCATTATCGAACGAGTATCATTATTGAATTGAATTATAAGCACACATCACTACTAGCGCCAGTGGGTTAGCAGTACGGCTTCCTAGCCGTATAATGCTGTGACGTACTACACACTTGACTTATCTTAAATGCGTCAATGGCAAGTATATGTGTCATTTATCCTAATGATGGTATGAAGAGTAAAAAAATAGTTTTTCTAGTTTAACCAAGTTTTTTAAACATAATATTGAACTGGCATTAAACAACTATCAGAAAAGGTTGATAGGTTGTAATAGGTGGATAGCAAGAATTACCATTATTGTTAGTTAAGGGGATTCACCACTGAAAATAGGCAAAAATCATAAAAAATTAAAAAAATTTTTTTTTTCATTTCTTTGTACATTGGACCCTATTACATCCAAAAAGTATGATATAAGTCATGTCTGAATGTTATTTTCATTAAAAAATATATATTTTTTGTGTTATTGCACGTTCACGAATTTTTAAAGTTTAATGTATTACGGTATTACGTAATGTTTCAGCTTAGGTTTTATATATCATATGATTTTGTGTAATATATGCCTTTATTTACAAATAATCATAGCTATAAAAGCCTAAAATAAAATCACACCTTCATAAATTTACTTACTTTTATATTCTTTGTAATGCACAAAAAACCATATGACATCAACTGTGGAGTCAGATGATCAGCTGATCCTTAGTCCAGTTGTGCAATGTCAACAAACAACTGAACTGAATTTATTTTGTCTGATGTTTTGGTTTTTGTGTATTTGCTAGTGATAATTTTATAAGCTAAAATACTAAATATGGGTAGAGTGAAAAAAAGTAAAGTAAATACTGCAGTGCGAAACAAGAGAAACATTTTGAAAAGGTATGAAGTGAAGCCCATAGAATTAGTAAGTGTTGAAATGGACATAAGTGATGAAAGTGAGGTTATACTTCCAGAAACTGATATTTCTAGGCCTAGTACTTCTGAGTCAGGTAGGAATAAGCCTACTGGTGTTTTTGAACAACCAACGGGTTTCGCTCTTTACGAAAGCTACAACATCAAAGTGGATGTAGATGAAAATGCACCTAAATATGTGTTGGTAGATGGAAACAAGCTGACATCATTTTTACAAAACTTCAAATGTCCTCAATGTGTGGGTAACTTACAGGTAAACCAGTTGCCAGCTAAAGGCTATGCAAATTTTTTCAATGTAAAGTGCAGTGACTGTGAATACGAAGATACTCTCAACACGTCTACAACAACCAACAACTGTGATGAAAATTCGACTCGACAGTCGTTTGACGTAAACCGTAGAATGGTTCAAGGATTTTTAAGTATTGGTAAAGGACACAGGGGTATGGAAGCTTTCAGTATGATAATGAATATGAAAGCAATGAACAATTTTGCATACAACAAACACATCAAGCAGATACATGCCAAATACGATAGCGTAGCAAAGGAATCATTGGAGAAAGCTAGACAAGAGGTAAGAAAAGCCTATTCAGTAATAGATAATATATCTTTGGATGAACCAGAGCCCATAAACATTGCAGTCAGTTTCGATGGAAGTTGGCAGAAGCGGGGGTTTACCTCGAAAAACGGAGTGGGTTGCTGTATCGATGTAGTAACTGGCCTTGTAATCGACTACGAAGTCCTATCTAAATATTGTAGGCTTTGTGAACAGAAGAAAAAAGAGCTTGGTAATGACTCTATCCGTTTTAGGGACTGGTATGCCCATCACAAACCCAATTGTCAACAGAATTACCATGGATCTTCACCAGCAATGGAGACAGAGGCAGCTGCGCGAATTTGGATGCGCTCGGAGAACCACGGCTTCCGCTACACCACTATTGTATCTGATGGTGACTCTAAAACATTCAGCCACTTGACTAATATGAATATTTACAAAGATCATACAATTGAAAAGGTGGAATGTCTGAATCATGTGGCAAAGCGCCTTGGCACTGGTCTCAGAAACATTGTAAAAGACAACTCCGGCAAGGGCGAGCCTCTGGGTGGGAAGTCGTATGGTAGCTTGAAGGGAAGCACAATTGACAAATTAACTACCTACTATAGGAATGCCATTCAAGGCAATTTAGGTGATGTAAAAAAAATGAAAGCAGCAATTTTTGCTACTCTATCCCATTGCTCGTCAACCGATGAAAAACCTATGCATGGTAAATGCCCACAAGGATCAGAATCATGGTGTTTTTACAACAGGGCTATTGCTAAGGGTGAAACACCAGAGGCACACCAAGTAAAAATAAAAACACCTTTGACAGAAAGAGTTGTATCTAAGATCCTCCCCTTATACCAACGGCTCTCAAGCGATGCATTGCTCCAGAGGTGCATTTCAGGAAAAACGCAAAACGCGAATGAGGCACTCCATGGAGTAATTTGGACAAAATGTCCTAAGACTTCTTTCTCTTCTAAAACAAGACTGGGAATCGGTGTTAGTGAAGCCATATGCCAGTACAACACTGGATACAACCAAAGCATGCTTGATCTGCAGCGATCAGTTGGTATAAGTCCTGGAAGATCGACCGCAAGAATCGCGAAGAGTTTTGACAAAAAGAGGCTGAAACTGGCTCAAACCAGAAAGAAGATGAAATTTAGTGAGTACAGAAGAAAACTGAGACAGGCACAAATGGAAGAAGAACAGAGGAAGATACAAGAAGAGGGCCAAACTTATGGTGCAGGAGAATTTTAAAATGCCCATAACGGCGAGTGATTCAAACTTTCCGATGGATTAAATTTGGCTTAGGCCTAAGACTTATATATTTTTAAATGTTTCTCTGAAGTAGGCCTGTTTGATATTTACCTATTTTGTGAAACAATAAGATAATGTAACAATAAAATAAGTTTTTTCCTTATTTATCAGTTTATTTTAATTTATATCATTGATTACAGTACACCTTCTTATTCAAATGCGGTTTTCCGCAACATTGAAATTCCACGTTTTTCAAGACAAAATTTGATATATCTTGAGAGCCACTAAAGGTACATTGTTGAAATTTTTACTACTTATTCTAGACAATATTAGGCAAATATTTAGGTAGAATTAGGTATCTAAGGTAATTAGTTACTGAAAAATATTTTTTTTTGTTTAATAATTCTTTTTTCTCAAGAAAAATTATATTTAATGTGTCACAGCAAAAAAAGTATCCGAGATATTATTATGAATCTACCTAAATATTAAGTTTAGATAATTATCTTTAAAAAAACACCAAATTTATCAAAATCCATAAAGTGCTCTCTTCAGAATATCGATTTTTTAAAACCCTTACAAATTGACCGAAAAATCTCTATTTTATTTTTTTTTCCACCTATAATTTGAATTTAGAAGTAAACCACAATTTTTCTATTTTTTTTTACATTATACCCTACTAGAAAAAAAATAGTTTCACCACTTTCCTCATTAAATAAAAAAAATCACCCTTTTCAGTGGTGAATCCCCTTAAGCGTATCTATGAAAGGTTTCTCAAAATATATTCTGTATAATTTAGGATATAGAAAACAAACAAAAAACTTGTTGTAGGCCTAACTCATTAAATGCAATTAAACCTTAAGGCCCTGGTTATTAGCTTTCAAGGCAAGTGTTTGTACATGTAAGTTAATGAGGTTTTGTTTTACATTATTTTTTAAAGATTTTCAAATGAAACAATGAAATCCAGATTGTATTTGTTGTAAGGGAAGTCTATACCGTCTAGGTTGCTTGTTTCTAAAGGATACATCAGGATCAGCGTAACATTGCAGCAAAGTCATCCCGCTGTCCTGGGGACATTCGTAGATGGACACTCGGTTGCTGCCGACACAGGCGAATATCAACGGCTGTCCCTCCTTGAGCAGGTGATTGAACTGGACCCCAAAAAGGGGCATGCCGTGGTCTTCTTTGATAAAACATCTGCAATAAAAATACGAGATTAGGCTTTCATTTATTTTCAGACACAGATTTTCAGGAAATTTTTTAGTAGGTAGTTTAAAATTTTTAAGATATTTTGAAAAAAAAAAATAGAAGGGTTGAATTTAAACACATCATCATAATAAATGTATAATACGGATAGTTAGTAAGGGGACAGATACTGCCGTTAGTAAAGAGCAAAAGGATAGATTTATTTAAACACATTCTCCAATAACTACAGAATAGATTTCAATAACCCACTAACCTAAATACACGTGATCATAAATGCTTGGATCTAAAGTACAAAAAATACCAATGAAAATGTCAGTCATAAATCTGCCACAACTGGCATTTTAAGTTTAAGTTACATGTACATTTTTAAGAACAAAATAGTTAGTTTATGATATAAAATATGAACAAATGGTTTTGAGTACAATATTGAAGTTTAATTTTGGCCTACTAACATGATTCGAAAAGATGTTTCTTATATTTGTAATATTCTAGGTGAAATATATAAACCCCCGGTGATTAATTTTATTTGGGTTTACAGTACAGGTAACATTGATAGGACTGTGCAGAACAGATAACTTTCTCCAGACTAACTTACATTTTTAGAGTTTCTATAACAAGTCATTAAAAGTAAAAGAAGTATCACATACCGTACCTACAAACTCCTCAAATTTGTGAGATTTCTCAACACTTCCAACCCTTAGATGGATATGGAGGTAGTGTTGAAGATAGTCAAGTAACTGTTAAGAGCTTAAGATAAATGGAGTAGCCTAATAGTATTAACATTACCTATACATAAATTAAACATTAAGAACAAGCCTATGTGATGTTCTATTTTTTTGGTTTAAACATGAGATAAGTTACTTATGTTAAAATAATCGTTAACTTAAACAATAGCTTTGTAAACAAACAAAAAATTCACACTTTCAATATGATAAGCAACAAACATACGTAAATTTATATCCGAATTTAGAAGATTTATTGTTCACAACTTTCTGTCTCCCTCTTCGGCCCTTCCTCCCTCTGTTGGTTGGGGTCTCACTTCGGGAAGAAGTATTATCTGTCGTCCCACTTCCAACACTGGATGTTTCATCCTTTAAAGTCAAAACATTAAAAAGATTAATCAATTTGTTTAAAGATCAGTACAAAGTGTATTGAAAACTAACTTACAGACTTTAAATTTAAGTTTTTATCAAGACTACAACCAGACATAATGTACTGGTGTCAAAAACAGCACTGAATTCTGTTAAATACAAAAGCTCTTTAACAAGCTTAACCGGATGAATAAATTATTCTTTTATGTCACATCAAATATTACAGCCACCAAATTTAAATGGAAAAATATTGAATTTTAAAGGCAGCACACTTTTAGGATAGCACATCTAACTTAGGGTAGGTAACAATTTTTTAATCAAGATTGGATAACTTACAGCTGGTCCATAGGCCTACAGCTGGGATAACGCTCCTTTCACACTATAAGGTTTTCGCCATTCAATTGAAAACAGTACAATTTCACGCTATTTTTAGGCGATGTTTCTTCCCTATTAGCCTGATGGTTTCAAACTGTATGACAAGATAAATGTGTTTACCATATTACAATAAACGTTAAGTTTAACAGTGTCTAATTGACAGGTCCGATTGAAAACGATAAACATTGCAACAGTCAATCTATTTTTGCACTGGCTGGTGGGCTTCCGTTTAATTAAAAACCGTGCAGTGTAAAAGCTTGCATTCCTACATGCACCACTGACACACAGCCATGCTGCAACAACTCAGGTTCAGTGGCAGTAGACGGCTGTAAGACAACACAGGTTTCTGTCCTCGCCATCACCATGTAGTGTGAAAGCTCTCATTTTCCTCTTTATACTAGTACCAACTAAAAACAATTACCCGTAAATTTTTTTATCTTACCGCAAAAAGTGTACAGTGTGAAAGAAGTGTAAGTTAAGGTATCCAAACCGAAGTGAATATTAGAAACATTTTATCATTGCTGACTGATAGAGAAGACTCTCTCATTTAACTTGTGTAATTTTTACAACATGAATATAAACATATATTGTAATTATCAAATCTAACTTGGACATTCGTTAAAATTGAGGATGCACTTTACTTTAGGTCCTACACTCATTCAAATGAAAATATCGATATATCGATCGATATTTTAATTTGAATGATTGTAGGACCTAAAGTAAAGTGCAGCCAAAATTGATTGCTAAGAAAGTAGAATTACTAGAGGAGACATAACTAAAAAAAAATAAATGTCCACAAAAACTTAATGGGGTTAGGATGTGGTGGGGTTCCCTGTACTTCATGCGTGTACTTCATTCCTTGACTTAAATGGCGTAAGTTACCTGAACAATAAAAATAACTTAATGCAATTGAAGGAAGGTTTATGCAGTAAATAAATGGTTAGAAAAGTGTAGATTAGACATTCAGTCTATAGGCACTATAAGTTAGCATTTTCTGTGAATTAGTGAAAACTTACTATCGATAGCACTATCGATAGTATCGATAGTTTGAAAATATCGATAGTGGGTCGATAGTATTTGACTATCGAAAAAGCTATCGATAGTTCTTGTGAAGGCTGAGGCTGGCGTGTTGGCGTCGTCTGTTCCTTGCTGATGTCTGTCTAGTCCTGTCCTCACCTCATCACTTCACTTCACTCCACTGCCAAACAAACAGTTCAGCGTTGCTTATAAATAAAGAGGAAGTTTTGAAATTGAGCTATCGAATTACCATACTTATTGATAGTTTTATGAACTTAAGTTACATTCTGCCTCGTATTGTGTACAAATAAGGGAGTTGTAACCGTCTGATAATGATTAATGTTGTAGGCATTTTTGTTGACAAACGAATGCTCGTATCTAACTTGGTAAGTAAATTTTCGTGTTACTGTACTTGGCTATATTTAGCCTAGCCTATAATAATTATAGTGAACCATAGGCAATGGAAATACTCAATTCTGATCCAGTCTAAGGTAATTAATTAGACTCTTAAATAGGCCTGATCCATTAGTAGACCCAATTGCTAATCTTTACTATCTATCCAGTTTGATATTTGTTTTTGTATAAGTTAAAGGTTCCTTTAACTTGATTTCACCCCTTTAAATTATTAAATCTCTGAGGTCTAATGAGTGATGTTATGGTAAGCATATTATTGTGGTAAAAGGTAAATATTAAAATGACTTGCTCTTGAAGAAAATATTTATTGACATTTAGGCCTACCAATCTTTAATTTACTTAGTGAGGGTAAAAATTTTTTAAACTGCTCAAATTATTACAGGCTATTTAATGCTTTTGCATAATGGCCAAATAAATCATTGAATCAAGTTTCTTGATATTGGTAGGCAGATATATTCAATAATAACAGTTATGTGGTAACTTAACTTATAATAAGAACTGTTATAGTGACAGTAGGCCTATTATGTTTTTAGTCTAGAGGCCTAAATCACAACCGTCTTGATATATATTAAGTCTTATATATTGGTCAACAAGTTACCCAACTTAAAGATATAAAACAATATCATAGGTACCTACATATAGGTAGGTTGTGTTAATATTTTATTACTGATAGTCCATATGGTACTTTGGTATTAAGTTTAACAGATAACAGATGCCACATATTTTACAGCCCACTGCGGCGGTTATGTTAGGTTGGGCTATCATAAATAGCCTTTGTTTGTAGTGCTTTCCTCGTTTTGTTCTGAATCAAACTAACTTATACAAGATGAGTTTTACTTTCTATGATGACCCTACCTGACATAACCGCCGCAGCGCGCTATATGAGGGTGGCCTCCGTATAATACCAAAGTCCTAGGCCTATTTTATTTTTGTTGTAGGCCTAAGTTAGTTTCTGGATAGTTTTACTAATGATAAGTACCGTTGGTTTTGCAGGAAAAATGTCTAGATTGAAGTCCGAAGTTTGGAAATATTTTATAAAGGATGCAAGGAATCCAAAGTTCGCAAAATGCAAAATTTGTGACAAACAGTACAAATCAAGTGGCAACACCTCTAATCTAAAAGACCATCTGAAGCGGTTTCACCCGACTGTATCAAGATTTAACGTAGGCCTACAAGAAGAGGAAGAAGATGGTTGTGATGATCCTGACGCAATTACACTAGTAGATCCATGTGCAGGACCATCGTCTGGGGGTGGAAATTTACCCTCCACGTCAGGAGCAAGGAAGAAATCAAATGAGGTACGTCCATCTAAAGGTATTAATCGTGGGATTAAGGACTACATTGAACGACACAAAAAATACGATGATAACAGTCTAAAAAAAAAACAGCTTGATGAAAGCCTCGTTGAAATGATGGTGGAGGATCTCGAACCTTTCAATATTGTTAACAGGAAAGGGTTTCGAAACTTTGTGTCAACTTTAGACCCTAAATACCAATTACCAAGCAAATCCTATTTAAAAGACGTTCTTACTCCCAAAAAATATGATGAATCAAAAGAAAAACTTAAATCCTTGTTGGAAAAAACTGAAAATGTAGCTATTACTAGTGATATTTGGACATCACCCTCAAATGAGGGCTACCTGACAGTTACATGTCACTTCATAGACAATAATAAACTGCGGTCAGCAGTACTGCAAACTGCCACGATCGAAGGGAGCCACACAGGCGAGGCTATTGCAAATGAATTACGTAACACCTTTGATCGTTGGAACATTAGGCATAAAGTTGTTTGTCTCGTAACCGATAGTGGGTCCAATATGATTTTAGCGGCTAAGATATTGAACCTTAAACATCTCCCATGTTTTGCCCACACCCTAAACCTCGTAGTTTCTGATGGTTTAAAGGGCAATATTGAAATCGAAAATACATTAAAAAAAGTCAAGGCAATTGTAGCACATTTTCGTTCAAGTACTTTGGCTGGTGACAAGCTTAGAGAAACGCAGGTTACTATGGGGAAAAAGAAACTAAAGCTTATTAACGACACTCCTACTAGGTGGAACAGCACATTGCTAATGATTAGACGAATTATAGAAGTTAAAGACTGCTTAGCTATTGCTATGAGCTCACTGCCTAATTCACCTCCTGCACTAGCAGCAGAAGATATTTTATTGCTCCAAGATCTGGTGGAGGCCTTAGCGCCTTTTGAGGTTGCTACCGAAGTTATTTCAGGTGAGAAATATATCACAGCCTCATTAATTAATCCTCTGGTTGCTGGACTCTACCAGCATTTAATGGGAGCCAACCAAAACATTTCAACGGATAAGGGATTACAATTTCTTAATCACTTACAAGCCAAAGTTATTGACAGGTTGTTTCCTTATGAAAACAAAGATATAACTGCAATAGCTACATTAATTGACCCCCGTTATAAAAAGCTCGGTTTCCGACGAGCAGAAATTGCTATTAGTGCAGCTAAAAAACTTCAGGGTGCTGTTACTGCTGAAATAAGAGTGAATAAGAGGCCTACTGGTCCGTCACCTCCAGCTACATTAACATCTACATCCATGCCTGACACAGCCACAGACTCCAATTCCCTGTCACAGTCTACATCTCTGTCTCCGTCACCAAGAACCAAAAAGAAGAAAATCGACCTGTTAAGTTTTGTTACTGTTCTAGCTGAAGAACAACATACCTCAACCCCTGCTCAAACCGATGGCATAATTTTAGTAAGGCAGTACCTAGAACATAGAGTTATTGACCGAGAACGTGATCCGATCGTCTACTGGGCCGATGTGAAAGAAGAAGACCTGCCATTGGCCAGATTAGCTAAGAAATATTTGTGTATTCCGGGATCCTCTGTTCCTTCAGAGAGGATTTTTTCTAAGGCGGGGCTCATTCTTACAGAAAAAAGAAACCGACTTAAATCAAAAAATGTAGACATGCTAATATTTTTAAAAAATAATGTGTGGATCCTTAAAGAACAGTAGAATGTTAAATATATACAGATTAGGCCTATATTGGCAACCAAATCTAAGTTTTCTTGCCAGTTTTTGTTGGGTGGCTTTAAACTTGTTTTGCAGACCATATTGAACTGTTTACTGTTATTAAATTAACTTTAAGTTAGGCTAAATCCATCTATCTTTTACATTAGGGCCTAAATAATTCTTATTGCCTAAAAAACTAGTCAGGAATAATTGCATTCAAGGGTTGACATTGGTTCTTCATTTGTGTGACTTCAGTTGACAATTAGTGTATCAGACTTGAGCTAATTATAGCCATACACCTAATTGTAACTTGTTTTTGGTTATTATTATTTGATTTAAGTGAATTTAAGCCTTTAACTATTTAATTGATATGGGCCAAGGCCTTATTTGTATAGATAAAAATGAAATGTTCCTACAGGCTAGTATGAACAAAAAAAGTTTATGAATAAATGGTGATTGAAGTATTTTGGTTCGGTTTGCTGATTGTTAGTTGGTTTATATTGAGTAAATAGACTATAAAGATGCTGATGCATCATGGCAGATGACACCAGATCTAGCTAAAGATTTGCATTTATACATAGTGGTAAACTAACTTCTACCTACAAGTATAAAGATGGCTAGGAAACGATCATAAAGGTAAAGATCAATATAGCTTAAAAACTTACCTTTAACGCTGCTTACTAAAATGTATTTTGTCTAATTATAAGGATTAAGCTAGTGTAAAATGTGGTGTTTAAATGTGTTTTTATTTCTTTGATTTATTGAACAATTAGGCCTATTATAATTTGTATGTTTCTATTAATTCATATGTATTGTTTATAACCCCAGAGGTAAAATCTAGGTTCTTTTTTGTTTAGGTTTGTTAACTTGATAAGTTTGCAGCATTCTGTTTCTGTCACATTTCCTATTATTTCTATTAATTCATAATATGTAGGTTATTTTTTATATCCAGGTATAATATACCTAGGTTCTTTTTTGTTTAGGTTTGTTATGTTAACTTGATAAGTTTGCAGCATTAGGCTAATCTGTTTCTGTCACATTTCTTATTTTATCTATAAATTCATAATATGTATTGTTTATATCCAGAGGTAAAATCTAAGTTCTTTTTCGTTCTAAGTTTTTTGAGCAACTAGGCCTACGTACAAACTTGGTAAAGCTGGGGCATTTAAGTTAGTTGTTAATTTAACTAGGTTTAATCAACTTATAAGTATTTGCCTTTTAGGTTGTCTATTACAATATTTTAATTCATATTTTATGCCATGTAAAGTTAATTCTATCTGCTGTTTAGTAAAAATAAATAAAATAATGCCAGAATTTTCCTTTTTTTTACTGCTTTAACCATTATTTAACCAAAATAAGTAATTGGAGAATAAATAAAAAATTATGTTAAAATTAAGAAAAGGTCATCAGTTTTAAGGTGTGGGTAAGTTTATATAGGCCTAATTACTAAAAAAATCTACTGATATTGATATTTTCTTATAAATATTGTTCTACTGTACTGTCCAAAAGTCAATACGACCTGCTGATTAGCTGTGAAAATAAATTAACTTAGAATTATTTTTATTGAGATGAACTTAGGACCTCATGGTCCTTTCTTACAGTTAGTTGACCTCTAAACTGTGCTTACTGCACCTAACCCAGCTCAGGACAATTTAGAACCATTTCAAACGTAATCAATTTGCAGGCCTTAATTAAATACTTTAAGGCCCCAAGGTAACAGGTAAAAGGTAACGGTAATTATTTATCTATATACCGGTAAAGGTTTCCTGCACAATTTCAATATACTGGCTTCCCAATGAAATTAAAATATGAAAATTGGCTCAATAACAGAGTTTTTTGCAGAAATCTGCATGTCTACTAATTTCATTTAGTTGGTAATGGTAATAGATGTTAGCTTGGAAACCCAAACATTGGTTTCGTGAATGGTATTCTTCTTTAGTAACTATCGATAGTACTATCGATAGTATCGATAGTTTTTAAAAAACTATCGAAAACTATCGATAGTGTGACTATCGATAGTAAGTTTTCACTACTGTGAATTGGGCTCAAATAACCTAGGCTTATTTTGATTCTTGTGCTCAATGACAATCATCTACCCAAACTTTGAACATAATTTATTGATGTTAAATAATAAGTTAGGCCTACTTACCACATCATCGCCTGAATCTTCAGTATTGGTCGACCCTTCAGAATTAGCTTGGTTAGGTTTCATCAGGTACCGGTGAAAATGTTATCTTTATCACTATGAAATTTAGTTATGAGGTAAATTTAGAATGACGCCAACATAACGTCAATTTCAAATTTTAAAAATTGATAGGCCTAAGTGACTAAGTTATATTTTGTTTAGCCTTGTACAGTAGTTAGTAACAGTATTCTAAACTCTTTCCCAATCAATCAAATCAAATCAACTGTTTCAGTTTCAGAGGCAAAGAGGCGTCGGATTAGAGAGTCTAAACCTTCGCTAAATCATCACGATGTTGTCCCCTGGCACTGCGGACCGCAGTGCGGAGTGGGGGAAGCAAAGCATTCTATTGGCTGAGGGAACACCATTACCGCAACGATACGATTTCTAGCCACCGGCCTCGGTGGTCTAATGGATAACGTGCCGGTCTGAGGATCTGAAGGTACCAGGTTCGAATCATCTCGGTAGCACTAACTTTTTGTCTAAGATTTTTGCATTATCAGCAAGTTTGGTTAGGTTATGACAGTTTAATTTGTTAATTAAAACAATAAAAAATTCAATTTGAGCTATTATAATTTTAGAACTATTTTTTTTCTATTAGTAAACCTTGTTCGATTTTTCATTATCAGCAAGTTTGGTTGGTTTGGTTAGGTTATGACAGTTTAATTTTATAATTAATAAATTCTAAAATTGAATTCAAGGCATTTATAATTTTATTTTATGAACAGAACTATTTTTTCGATTAGTAAACCTTCATTCGATTATTATTTTATATATTTTTTTATATAATCAGCATGTTTGGTTGGTTAGGTTAGTTTATGACAGTTTAATTTTATAAATATTCATTTTTTAACTTATTGAAAAACTGCAGCATAGGTTTATGCATGTAAAACAACGCGGGCTTGTTTGGACGCCGTCTAGAGGGGAGGTGGAGGGAGAATCATTTCCCCCACTCCGCAGCGCCAGGGGACAACATCGTGATGATTTAGCGAAGGTTTAGACTCCAGTGGCAACGGATTGGGCGGAAAGAAAACAATAACAAAACACTACGAAATAGACAGTTGTAGACAGTATACGAAATATGAATACACTCAACTGTGGTTTGGGGTTTGGTTTGGTTACTTGGTTTTGGCATAGACTAAAGGAGAATAAAAGGCATTTTTATTCTCCTTAGTCTATGGTTTTGGTTAGGTTAGTGGGATGGGAAGGGGAGTTGGTTGGTGTTGGTAGCCTGCATGGTTTTTCGAGAGGTAGTGAGTTGGAGTGGAGTGTATTATCGTTGAATATATTCATTCAATGGTGGTATGGAGCGAGCTTTGTAGTTCACAATGGTTTTAAGTTTTAAACGGTATGATTATTGTCCCCACCTTATTAATACTTATGAAGAGGTTGGCAGATTTTCTCTGCCTGAGAAGAATACAAGTGAAATCGCTGCCTTAAGCCTTGTTTTCCTAGACGCGGAAGGGGAGCGCGGAGAGCGGAAAAGTGATTAACATGGCGTTCCGCTCCGCTTCTAGGAAAACAGTAACATTAAAATTACCTAAGACCAGAGGAGTCCGCTCTCCGCGTTCCTCCCTCCGCGCTCCGCTTCCGTCCGCGCCTAGGAAAACCCAGCTTTTAGTTTGTGTAAATCGCATTGGTAGGCTCTGTTCCAGAAATGTATTTAAATCGGAATCTTACCCCCTGTTTAGATATAGAATTTGGCGAGGGTAATTAATTTCGTACATCGTAGATCTGTTTATAGTATAATCAGTTAACTATTATTTAAATTTGGCTTGATGTGTAGGGCTGGATAAACTTGAATGAGTTCACGAACCAGCATGATCGAGATCGAAAACTATGGAAATACAGGTTGGTATGGTGGTTTTGTGGAGTAAAAATTGGGTTTTCTCATTTTAGACGCTCAAAACATAAAAGTTCCCAATTTCTTTTTAGACCCTTTTAAAGAGCCTTACAAAATAATTTAGTTTATTGAAGTGTTTTTTTCGGTAATTGTTTGTAGAGAAAATTCAATAAACTGTACATTTAAATTTACAATGTTAAATATTCTTATGGAGGAATAAGTAAGCTGTTGTAGTTTGCTTGTTTATTTACCGGATTGGATTTTCAATTAAATTTATTTAAATAACATTAGATTTAAAAAGTACCTAGATTTCCTGCTACAGGGAGATGATGAAGATGAAAAGCCTATGTCCTTCGTGAAATGTTAATAGCTTAGCATAAAATACACCTGCTGCAGCAAACCTGCCATCTAGGCGAATTTCCATTTGCCTGAAATTATTTTCAATTAATCTATTTAACATTAGGTTTATGAGCATCTAGGTTTGCTGCTACAAGGAAAGTAATCAAGTTTGTTATTAAGTAAAATAATTATAGCTTGGTATAAAATCAATAAATTTGCCAAGTAGTTTGATCAAAATATATCCATAAACAAGCTCTACAACATTTTACAATACTCTCCATAAGTATAACATAAGTATTTTATAATTTCAACAAATTTCATCAAAATTGGACAAAAAATTACTCAAGTTATCGTAAAGGTGGCCGTGACATATACAAATTTGAACGAATGGTGTTTTTGGCCTCTGGGGACATCAAAATGAAAAAAGTGAATCGGTATCGGGCCTAGGTCTTACCGTGCCACCTACGGTAATAGCTACTTCCCTTGGGAAATTCGATAATAAATTAATTGGCCAAGTTTGATCAAAATACATCCATAGAAATTCGCTTAGTTGCGGGGGTATTTTTTTTTTTTTTTTTTTAGTTGCTTTGAGTCATCTTATTATTATTGAGCGGAGCGAAGCGAAGCTCTTTGGGATCAACTTCAATGCAATCTTTATAACACTTAATCTCAATAACGGCTGAACATATTTTAGCCAAACTTACCAAGGTTGTTTTGTTAAATGTTTGGATGGTTTAGACGTAACCAATTTCAATTTTTGATAGTGCATAATATAATTTTAAAGTAACTCAATGTTTTTAAATTTTAATATTACTGTAGTCTTATGGGTTGCCATTATTGTTACAAAATAACCACGTAAATGTAAACAAAACAAAGAAACATAGCATATGTTAAAATCAAGCCACGACCTAAACACGGTACAAAGGAAAAAAATTCGAATGATTACAAACTGATCAAATTCCACAGTGAAAGTCTTAAGTTTACATCTACTCTGAAAGCAGCTTCTACCAGTTCTAATCTACAAATCAATAATTTGGCCTTTAATTGAGCGGAGCGAGCGAAGCGAGCGAAGCTCTTTGAGATCGGACCTTATGCAAACTATGTAATCAATTAACTCAATAACGGCTGAACATATTGAATCCAAACTTACCAGGGGTATTTCAACAAATATTTTTGATGTTTCGAAACAAACAAATTACAATTTGATGATACCTGTACAATTTAAGACTGACATAAAATTTGCAATGTTTAACATGAGTCTTATGAGTTGCCATGATGGTTACGAGATAACAACGTAGATGTAAACAAAGAATCGTAGCGTATGCGACTCGACATTCTGTACCCACGGACACCTCAGCTTGCACATGCACATATGGCCTATTTACAAAAGACAGTACAAAAGAAAAGGAGTCCGATAAATACCATTAAGCGTTGATTAACAATACACCGATTCGCATAATTTCTGGCGGCCTTACTGAATTACTTCAAGCAGATTATTTCTTTTAATTGTTGTTATTGCTATTAGTTTTGTGGTAAATATTAGTCCGGAGTGTGGTAACTGTTTATGACGATTAGATTAAGGTATCTGTTATCCTAAAATGCTATGGGAAGGGAGGGAAACAGGTCCGCGACGTAGGAAGTCGTGAAGGAAGTAGTAGAGGTGAGTAGTCCGGAGTGTGGGAACTGTTTATGACGATTAGATTAAGGTATCTACAATCCTAAAATGCTATGGGAAGGGAGGGAAACATGGTCCGCGACGAAGGAAGTGGTGATGGAAGTAGTAAAGGTGAGTAGTCCGGAGTGTGGGAACTGTTTATGACGATTAGATTAAGGTATCTACAATCCTAAAATGCTATGGGAAGGGAGGGAAACATGGTCCGCGACGAAGGAAGTGGTGAAGGAAGTAGTAAAGGTGAGTAGTCCGGAGTGTGGGAACTGTTTATGACGATTAGATTAAGGTATCTACAATTCTAAAATGCTATGGAAAGGGAGGGAAACAGGGCCGCGGCGTAGGAAGTGGTGAAGGAAGTAGTAAAGGCGAGTAGTCCGGAGTGTGGGAACTGTTAATGACGATTAGATTAAGGTATCTGTTTTCCTAATATGCTATGGGAAGGGAGGGAAACAGGTCCGTGACGTAGGAAGTCGTGATGGAAGCAGTAAAGGTGAGCGGTCCGGAGTGTGGGAACTATTGATGACGATTAGATTAAGGTATCCACAATCTTAAAATGCTATGGGAAGGGAGGTAAATAGGTCCGCAGCGTAGGAAGTGGTGAAGGAAGTAGTAAAGGTGAGTAGTCCGGAGTGTGGGAACTGTTTATGACAATTAGATTAAGGTATCTACAATTCTAAAATTCTATGGAAAGGGAGGGAAACAGGTCCGCGGCGTGGGAAGTGGTGAAGGAAGTAGTAAAGGCGAGTAGTCCGGAGTGAGGGAACTGTTAATGACGATTAGATTAAGGTATCTGTTATCCTAATATGCTATGGGAAGGGAGGGAAACAGGTCCGTGACGTAGGAAGTCGTGATGGAAGCAGTAAAGGCGAGTAGTCCGGAGTGTGGGAACTGTTTATGACGATTAGATTAAGGTATCCACAATCTTAAAATGCTATGGGAAGGGAGGTAAATAGGTCCGCAGCGTAGGAAGTGGCGAAGGAAGTAGTAAAGGCGAGTAGTTCGGAGTGTGGGAACTGTTAACGACGATTAGATTAAGGTATCTACAATCTTAAAATGCTATGGGAAGGGAGGAAATCAGGTCCGAAACGTAGGAAGTGGTAAAGGAAGTAGTCAAGGCGAGCAGTCCGGAGTGTGGGATCTGTTTATAAGGATTAGATTAAGGTATCTGCAGCAATCTTAAAATGCAATGGGAAGGGAGGGAAACAGGTCCGCGACGTAGGAAGAGGTGAAGGAAGTAGTAAAGGAGAGCACTGCGGAGTCTGGGAACTAGAAACCAATTGTAACAGTTTGATTTCTGTATCTGAAATTGAAATACTGAAATGCTATGAGATGGGATGGAAAGATGTCCAAGACATAGGAAATGGTTAAAGAATTAGTAAATGCTAGCAGTGCGGAGTGTGGGAAATGTTGTTGGCAATTAGATTAAATGTATATAAAATACTAAAGTGCAATGGAAAGAGATGACAACATGTCCACGACGTAGGAAGTAGTAAAGTTTAGCATCGCAGAGTGTGGGAACCGTTTGTGGCAGTTAGATTAATGTATCTGTGATACAATCACGTAGGAAATGGTGAAGGAAGTAGTAAAGGCTGGCATCGCAGAGTGGGGGAATAATTTTCCCTGAGCAAAGCTCGGTCTCCAGGTACTTAGTTTATAAACAGTAAAAGAGAGTATTCAAATTGAAAACTATAGAAACTGTATTTCCGAAGCAGGAATTCAGTATTTTCAAATATTATTAACGGTAGCCTATCCTAAATAAATACATTTATTTGCTGGGATTGCACACTAAAGTCCAGTTGCGACTACAATAAATAAATAATTACCTAGGATTTTATAGAAGTCCACTTTAACTAAGGCGTGTAAATAATTGGTTAGACTTGAACAGTTACGATTACGATGCGTAGGCCTAATGCCTAGACTGCTAGGCCAATACAGAAGTTCAGTTATAGCTATTTATTATAATTAAATATTTAACTAAACTTGTTAACTTTTGTTGTCCAATTTATAACTTATAAGTGTGGAAATAATTTTCTATGTGCAGATATACAGACACAGTTACAAATTACACATGCCAATGTTGTAAATATATGTTCAGTAATTTATGTCTGTTTGTTAAAATGTATATATTTTTTATTTGAAAGTCTGACGCCATCAATCCCTTTTGGGTAAAAGATGAAGATAATAAGGTAATAATTACAAAAGGTAGAGCCTAGACTGCTTGGCCTGTACGGGAGTCCAGTTATTAAATAAGCGTGATATAATATTCCTATTTTTTCCGTAATACTATAAGATGAATTATTACAGCTAACAGAACAGCATGTTGGCATTTTTATGTCAGGTTGAAAATTTAGTACAACCCAATAAATAGGCCTTACATCAACACAGTGCAGGTTCTCAAATTAAATTGCCATAGCCTAATATAAAAACGTCTTTTTTGAATGAATGAATGAATGAATGAATGAATGAATGAATGAATGAATGAATGAATGAATGAATGAATATATAGTTTTATATTTGATTTTAATAATTTTGTTGTACAGTAGCTTATTATGCATATACAGTATTTTACTTAATCATGCTGTAATTTAGCATGGGGAATAAATATATTCTTGTTTAATTCACCAATTCTCTATCCAGTGCCGTCTTAAAAATCTAATCTATTTATTGAGTACAGTAGGCCTATTTTGGCAACGGGGCGGAGCTAGCACAAACGTCACCAATTCAATGCCACTAGCGTCGCGGCAACCACCATCTTTTTCAGGGTATCATCAGCTCGTGAAATTAGCCACGCCTTATTTCCTGTGGTGACCATTGACTACAGCACAGTACCATTGACCATTGACTATTGCTATATATAGTCACCTTCTTCTGTCATTCTGTTCGCTGAGCAAAGTTTACTATTTGGCTAAATGTTTTAGTTGGAGAAAATGAGAAGAAAGCCTATAGGCCTACTACATAAATGGGAGCTAAACAAACATTAGGATATTAACAAAATAATACTTTATGCTATAACAAACACACAGTTTTACTATTACTCATATATACAAGTGAAAATCAATGACCTAATAGAAACAGCTGACTGGATTCATATTTCCTTCAACTCTTCCAACCAACCACGAGAATTCAATTGGATTGTTGCTATGGTGACGACATCATGTATTCAATTTGAATCATGAACACAAATTAAAGTTATTTGTTTATATCAAAGCTTGCTTACTCCGCTCAATTGGCGGACATGAGGCCGCTTGCCTAGTTACGTATGCATCTCCTATCCGGGGATAATCTATATCAAAAAACAAACTCTTCAAAATTCAAGTTATCCAAAACAAAATTCCAAACATAGCGGTGAATGCTCCCAGGTTTGTAAGTTACCACATGAAGAGCTAGGAGTGGAGTCTATCTTGGCCTTTATCGAAAAAACCACCTCCTGATGTCTTTCTTTAGACAATGTTCCTGGTGCACTAGCCCGGGTTCGAATCCCGCTGGTGGCACTAACTTTTCGACTAAGATTTTTTCATTATCAGCAAGTTTGGTTCGGTTATGACAGTTTAATTTTATTATCAAGTCATTATACAATTTTAATCGAGCAATTTTAGCGAATTTCCCATATAGGGAATAAGCTATTACCGTAGGTCTCATGGTAAGACCTAGACCCGGGACCGATTTACTTTTTCGTTTTGAGGTCCTCAGAGACCAAAAACATCATCCGTTCAAATTCATATATATATATATATATATATATATTTATATATGTGTCCGTTAGCGCGATAACTCGAGCAAAAATGATCCGATTTTGATGAAATTTGGTACAAACGTGTAAACCTACGTTTATTCGAACGGTTCGCGAACCAGTATAATCGGACCATGGGAACAGGGGTTTATGGGGTAAAAATGGGGTTTTCCCATTTTTTACCCTAAAAACAAAACATTTTACAATTTCTTTCTCAACCATTTTGTAGAGCTTAAAAAAAGAAATAATTTAGTATATTGAAGTGCTGTTGTATGTCTAACGGTTACGGAGAAAATAAAAAAAGTGTAATTTAAAATTCCCATGTTATTCTTATGGAGAAAATGAAAACTGTTGTAGTTTACTTGTTTATGGATATATGTTGATAAAATTTGGCAAATTTATTTATTTCATACTATACTATTGACATATGGTCAAAAACACTTTTTACCTTCCACGTAGCAGCAAACCTAAGCACTTGTTAAATCTAATGTTATTTAAATTGGGAATAAATATGTCTTATGTATGGAATTATTTTAGTAAAAATGTAATCAGACAAGTTGAAATTCGCTTAGTCTGCAGGTTTGCTGCGGCGGGGGTATTTAGTTTTAATTAATGAACAGAATTATGTTTTCTATTAATAAACTTTTTTTATATTATTTCATTACTAGCAAGTTTGGTTAGTTCGGTTAGGTTATGATAGTAATTTTATAATAAAAAAATTCTAAAATTGAATTTGAGGCATTTATAATTTTATTTTATGAACAGAACTATTTTTGCGACTAGTAAACCTTCATTGCCAAAATGCTCTCTACTACAGCACTGTTCACGGAGGAATTTTGAACTAATGCCTCAATCGTACCTCCCCTAAGTCAGACCCTTAGATGATTTTACACTGTACCACAGAAAACGTACTACTATGTACCTGCAATCGCAATCCTAAAATGCTATGGGAAGGGATGAAGGGAAGGGACTCGAGGGAAACAGGTCCAAAAAACGTAGGAAGTGGTGAAGGAAGTGAAGTGTATTTATATTAGGCGAAAGGTACGGTACTGAGATAATAATTCACTTTACTGACAATACTGATACTTTAATAGTCATATAATAAAAGAAACATCGACATCATTGTACATGAGACGAGACTGACGACAAATCACAATATCACATTGTGCTGAGGCGACTCTCACCACATATTCTAGGTTTAGGTTAGACCGGAAGAGCATAATAAGAACACACTTAAACTAATATCGTTAACACAATATAGCAGATAGAAAAACATATTATATATATCAGGAAGTAGTAAAGGTGAACAGTCTGGAGTATGGAAACCGTCTGTGGCAGTTATATTAATGTATCTGCAATCCTAAAATGCGATGAGAAGGGAGGGAAACAAGTCCACATTGTTGGAAGTGGTGAATGAAGTAGTAAAGGCTGGCAGTGCGGAGTGTGTGAACCGTTTGTGGCAGTTACATTGATGTATCTGCAACACTAAAATGGTCCAGGAAGGGAGGGGAACAGGTCCACTGTCCACTTGGTGAAGGGTGTAGTAAAGGCTAGCAGTGCAGGAGTGTGGCAACATTTTTGTATTTTGTACTGTATCTATAAACATTCTTTTTTCATTTATTGCTTTATTAAAACCCATGAAACATGATTGCTCTGCTCAACTGGCTTTCATTGCTATGAAAGCTATCCTAGTGCTATATGGTGTTATATGATAAATGCGTTTTAAAACAAAAGGATGGGGCTGTATAGCTACATACCACACGAGTCTATGCTAAGAAAAGTGTCTTTCATGAACATGGACCTAAAAAAAGTAACAAAAACAGTTTGATGTCTTTGCTTTGTGGGAGTGGGAGGGAAATGGAAATGAGAAACTTCAATTCAATTGAAATGAAATCAAATGAATTGGATTACAACAAAACAACAAACGAACAAACAACTAACTTTAACTTATAAGTTACAAGCTCAAGTTCAAGTTACTTTTTACAACAAGCATAAACAAAAGTCTACTGATAGTGCTAGAACTAGAAGTGCTTCTGATTTAAAAAAAAAACTTGTCCATAAGGCTTAAGTTATTTTGTAATACTTTCATTCAGTAAGTTAATCGGTTCGTTTTAAGTGTACGTTAAGTTGGGATGTTATAGACATAGGCCTACTAAGTTAATGTTATAGGACCATTTTAGTGTAAGTTTAGTTTAGAACGGTACCTATAAGTTGATAAGTGAAAAAGTAAAATCCTTATTAGCGACTTGACCTAGGCCTACCTATGCCTAGGCAAAAATAACTAGACTGTTACTCTAGGTTGTTTAAAAACTGGGCAATTACCTCGACAGTTATAAATATTAGGTCTAACAACGGACCTAGGCAATGTTAGGCCTATGTTGGGCATGTTTAGTTAGCAATAATAGTTCATGTTTATAGGCCTAAGTAAGGCCTAGTCAATACGAATAAGAGAAAATTTTCATCAAAAGATAGAGAATTGGCAAGCTTAAAAAGTTAATTGGTTCCTTCCTATTTTTTATAAGCCATAATAAATGGTCTGTTCTGACAGTGTTTTAGTTGTCTACGTGGCCCACACGCTGAATCCAAGAGTGCAATTAGTCTTTGTGTGATCGATGTGAAACTGGCAATAGATCAGCAATTACTCCGGCCCCTTCTCGTACAGCCCTCTGACGATCACACGTCACAGTAAAAATCGTCATGCCTTAGTCTGAATACGTCATAACAAGGGTGACATAACCTCCACATCGATCCTTGTGTGTGGGTTATGAATGAGCCTATGCTATAACAGTGCGGACTAGGGCCTACATAAGTTAACTTGAAGGGAAGGAAGTTAGCTTTAAAGAGAACAAACACCTGATTACTGTAATAACAAAATTTACCTTTCTAGTACGACCCAACTTTATTTAACTTAACTTAACTCAAATTAAATTTATTTAAAATATTTAATTACAACTCACTCTAATAATGAATTAGTATAGATAAGATTTTATTTATTTAAGCTGTTCAGTATAATCAGTATAGCCTAGATTAAGTTCAATCTAAGTTAAGTTACAATAAGATAACATGTCATGAACACACAATAATGGCAACGATAACAAGGCAGCTAATTAAATACTTAATGCGTCGATAAGTTACCAGCAACAGGACAGTTGAGATGCAGGTTTTCAATTGCTAACAATATGGTAAAAGATAACACAGACGGTAACCACACGTGGATTAGGCGTCGGGCAGTGACGCCACTGGATTGTGGGGGCCCAGAACGCCATTACCACAACGATACAATGTATAGCCATCGGTGTTAGTGGTGCAGTGGATAGAGTGCTCGGCTGATACGCAAGAGGTCCCTGGTTCGAAGCCTGTCGGTAATTTTAACTTTTTGTCAAAGATTTTGCTTTGAATGCCATTTCTTCGTAACTTGAATTTTTGGCATATAATTTTATTTTATGAACGAATTTAACCTTAATTCGATTTTTTCATTACCAGCAAGTTTGATTAGTTAGGTTAGGTTATGACAACAGTAACTGCTGGACGCCTAATCCACAAAGTATTGTAGGACAGTTGCTTTGTAACTTAACTTAAAACACAACGATCACATAAATATATAAGCCTTTAAACAAGTAGAACATTTTTTAAGGCCAGTGCCTTAAAAACTTCTACGAATTGTCCTTATGGCTAACCACGCAAGTTGCTTACACTAACCTTTACTTTCCCTACCTGTGATCGTTTTTTAATTTTGTTTGTAAAACATCATACACTTCTACTCTTTCTGTTATTCTTTCAGGGGATAACTTAGACAATGCTAGCAGCATTCTTACTCTAAGTAGCCACTGTTTCAGTTACAAGTAGACAAATATTAAGTCACATAAGTTAATTATTATTTAATGATATCTTACTGAATGTATTAGACGGTTTGCCTAAAACATTGAAATCAAAATAATAAAATTAAAGTAGGCTACCTCTTAAATTATAGTTACAGTATTATAAGTGAGGAATAATCAATAAAAAGTGAGACACACATAGTATTTTCTCGTAACTTTTTTTGATTACGTGATAAAATATTGGCAGAGGATACGCGTCCGGTAACCATACGTGGATTAGGCATCCAGCAGTTACTGTCATAACCTAACCTAACTAACCAAACTTGCTGGTAATGAAAAAATCGAATTAAGGTTAAATTCGTTTACAAAATAAAATTATAAATGCATCAAATTCTAACAAAAAGAAGAAATGGCATTTTAAGCAAAATCTTTGACAAAATGTTAACTTAAGTTAGTGTCACCAATGGGATTTGATCTAGATACCTCTTGTACATCAGCCGAATACTCTATCCACTACACCAAGACACCGATGGCTGTGTACAACGTATCCTATTGTTGTGGTAATGGTGTTCCGGGCCCCCATAACCTGGTGACGTCACTGCCGGACGCCTAATCCATATTCGGTTACTGGACGCATCCTCTTCGTAAAATATTATTACAAAGGGCCTACAAACTGTTTGTAAGTAGCCCTTAGGTTAACTTCTATTTCGTCTATTTTACTAGAACTATGTGACCTTTTTAAAAAAAAACCTTCCTGCAACTGTTAGCTTTTAAATCGTTTAGTTCAATTTTTAGGTTATAGAAACAATGTGTGTTTCCAATTATTTTAGAATCGATAGCTAATTCATTATTAATCGAATTTCACAGCTAAAAGATCACAAAACAAAACAAACATACATGTACTGTATAAATTAATATCACAGAAGCAGTCTTTTTAAGTTTATGAGTAGGTAGGTTTCTACAGTTTAAAGATATCAAGGTGTGGTGACATCAAGTTGCCCAGGTAGTGTAGACGTAGGTCTAGTGATAGACTGAGGCATAGCCAGTGGACCAAAAACGCCAGAAGAACGGGTTCCTCCTGGTACTTTGATGTCAATGTTGTTCATAACAGTCCAGTCACCGAGAAGAATCCTTTGGTGTAGTGGACATGGTGTTGTGTTGTTGGCTTTGTTTAATTCGTGCTTTGAGTCCAAGATACTCCAGTTTCCTTTAGCTTGCCTAAAAACTCAACGCTGTCTCTGGACCTTCTGTTGATCATCCATCAAAGATCCTAGTTTTTGTGAATCCTACGTAGGCTTATATCAAAACAAAAGCTATTTGCGCTCCTCATATTTGTTCACTCGAACATATCTCTCAGACTTGTCCAAACCGCCATCTAAACAATTAACAAAATATTGGATCTTGAAACTTTTTAGATATTTCTGTGATAAATGCCTTTGCTGTGACTGCAAGGAGCACAGCTTTTCCCCTAAATATCTGTAGATGTTTTTTAAATGTAAACTAAATATAAAATTATAATAGCCTACTGGCTAATCTAGCAATACAGTAATAGTTTTTTTTTTAGTAAAGCTTTTCAATTGTTCCCCCAAGATAACTGATGTCGTTTTTTGAGGATTTAAAGGTTAAACATCATGTGAAGGTTGGCTATGGTATACTCCTTCTTTCTTGTAGTTTGTATCCAACAGTTTTTACTGTGAGTCACTTGTGTGGCTTTAAGTGCCTATTTAATTTTAAGACTGTTTTAGATGGTTTTCTTGATTGTTATGAAACTGACATTACAAATATTTTTTTTGTATTTCAGGACTTTGATTTGACTAGAAAAAAATTTAATTGAAATGAGAGTGACGAACACTTACTCTAGAAAGAACTCTAGAAAGAAGCGCAGAAATCGAGGGGGAAATTCTCCAAATAATGTCAACATAAATTTGATTTTCCTGTCAGTCAACATTACAAACAACTCTTCCCAAGAAAACAATGCCAAACCAGAAACAAGTCAATCACAATCAGGAGACTTGTTCGACAAGTTGGTTAAAGGCCCCATCTATAATGTGAACAACAAGTCTAACAGTCGGTAAGAAAATGACTATACTTACTTTTGTAAATTGGTGTAGTAAGTTTTGAATATTTGTTTATACTTCTCTGTTGCAATCTGCAATAATAACTTGCCTTCTGATTAAGGCCCGGTTTTCACAAGCGACTTCTAGATGACTAGGTAAGCCCGACTGGGTTGCGGACCACAGGATACACCGGTTCACACAAGCGACATGTCCATAGACTAGGTCGCAGGTGTGACGTAAATGAATGTGCATCAATAAACCATGTTTTCTATATATCTATGTTTTTGAAACACCAATGTTTTCGATACATAGATTTTTTGATACGTTGGCGTAATTCTGGAAATATTTGATGTTTTTGCGTCAATGGTAAGTGAATCTTTTTGTACATTGATGTTTTGGGCAGTAATGATGTTTTAAACAATTATCAAAGTTTTTCAAAACTAAATTTGCATTACAATACGGTAATGAATTTCACCTAACAAACTAATTCACCTAATTTAAACTATTATAAAGTTTGGTTGAACAAACATAATTGTTTAGAGTATTTTAGGGCTTTAGAGTTTTTAGGGCTAATCATATATATTAAAACGTGACAAGGGTTTTTTTATTTCACGATTCTGAATCAACCACTTGACGGATTTTCATGATTTTTGTGTTGAAAGAAAGATAATTTTGAGAACTAGGGAATGTCAAAGCCATAATTTTAGTTTAAGGTTTCAGTTTTTTAGAAATTAAGTTTTAATTTTTTTTAAAGTCTAGCAGCCGACGCTAGCAATTTAAAGTATTTTCAATGCTAATTTAACTAACAGCTGGTTTATAACTGTCATTGAAATGTTTATGTTACAAGTTGTTTGTTTACAAAAATGTTGTTCGTTGGTGTTTGCATAAATACTATTTCACTTTAAAATGTAGGTAGTTTTCCCCTACCGTAAGGATCTGCGTTATCAGGAAATGTGTTATTTTGAACTAAACATCTCAAACACTTGCGTTTAATCAAGTTTTGTGGTAAATGCAATCTCTGTAAGTATTTAGTTTATGCATTGCAAATTTCAACTCATATTTGGGAAATATTTTTTCAGCAGTTTATCGCTTAATTGTTTAAGATACAAGTGGTTTACGTGTTGATACTTCTTTTTCGGTATGTTTGAATGTGAGTATGTCAGCATACTAAAATTTTGGTTAGTAATGAAAGCGTAAATCGGTGTAGTACGTCTCTATAAAACTGTCTTATAAACTGCAGGGTGCAGCAGAAACCAAAGTTGACTCATACCATACCAACTATCCCCGTAGTACTGATGATTCAGAAACTTGGGCACTGGCCAAAGAACCGAAAAACCTTAAAGCTGGGTTAGATAATGTGCAGAGAAAATATACAGACCAGTTCAAGACCGGAGGTCGAAATAAAAACAAAGAGCTAAGAGAAATGTGTTAACACCCAAACATAGTGATGCTTTCCAGAAGTAGGTAAAGCTGGGATGGACAGGCTGTGCATAAACTTTTAAAAAGTATATTCCAAGGAGTACTACACGATAGATGGGAAATACCAAGTTATGAAATGCATCCTCAGACTAGGATCTAAATTTTGAAGAGGCAGGGGATAGAAGAGAATGGGAGGCAAGAATCTCATAAGGTTTCAGTGGTCACGAAGGTAAGATAAGGTACGGTAAGTACATAAGTAGTATATGCAATTGGAGGTGGCATGTAGCTACTCTACTCAAAACCAGTGTGAATCGGTCACCAAGATTTCACTTCAAGATTTTTCAAATCGACACAAATGCTGTTTTATGGTAAAATTATCGGATTTAAAATGCATATCGCTATATTATAGGTCTATAGTCGGATGGAAGAAATAGGTGGTCACGTGACATTTGTTTATAAGGTGATCACTGATCTTCCCCATTAAAACTGCCAGAATTTGTGTCTATGCGTGTAAACTAGATGTTCTGAATTATTCCGTTTTAGTTGACAACTCGATTCCCGTACGGGCCACCAGCTCGTATATATTAAAACGTGACAAGGTTTTTTTATTTCACGATTCTGAATCAACCACTTGACAGATTTTCATGATTTTTGTATTGAAAGAAAGATAATTTTGAGTACTAGGGAATGCCGAAGCCGTAATTTTAGTTTAGGGTTTCAGTTTTTTAGAAATTAAGTTTAAAATTTTAAAAAGTCTAGCAGCCAACGCTAACAATCTACTCTAGCTTTTGGTATAAAACCATTTGCTTGATTTAACAGCTGTTAACATTCAGCATTTGGATGAAAATTAAATGACATACGTAGAGTTTACTTATTTATACTATGTGTAATGCTTTAATCATTGATACATTCATTTATTCGGTAAGAGGATGAGAGTTTATTTAAATATACATAGTAAAATACTAGATGTTCTAATTTTTTTTTTTGAGCAGTCTTTAAAATACCTATTTAGTTTGTTTTAGTGCAATATAATTCGTTATAACTAAGAGCTGGATGAATAAAAAATATTCTATAGAACTATGAGGTTAGTCATTGATTATAGGAAATAAGTAAGATTCTATAACCATTAATTGCTGTATACGAATCGAAGCTCACGAATCTTCAAAAGAAAGCTTGTGAAAATTATTTTACTATTTGACTTTTTGAGGAAAGTTTGGGAAAATAACAATGATCACATGTTTTAATTCATCTTGGCAGCTTTTTCTTTACCGTAAATTTTGAACTGCTTAAACTATGCTTGAATTAGTAATAAACACAACATATACAGTTTTAATGGACTAATCATTATTTATACGAGCTGTTATCCCGTCCTACGCACGGGAACGTAGGACGGGATAACAGCTTGAATAAAATTATTTTTTATACCTCTTAGTCGGTTACAAGTTAAATTTTGTTTATTCGTATTTTTGGACTTGTAATACAATTACCAAAAAGTTGTATGTCATTTAGAACATTGCTAATTTGAGAACAAGGACGCACAATTAGAAAAAAAGGGAAGAATGCTATCTGCAGCGCGATGACCGAACGCTCCCATAAGGCTACGTGTACTGCTATGCCGCTAGAGCGGGTGACTGGGAAGTGGGGCCCGACTATGGTTTGGGACACCAAGCTCGAACGCGGCTCGCTAGTCGTCGCCATACGCTCGTGTGAACGGCTCCATTTGATCCTGTGGTCCGCTGCTACCCAGTTGGGCTTACCTAGTCACAGTCTGGTCACCTAGATAAGTCGCTCGTGTGAACCGGGCCTACAAAAGTGTAATTTCAGTTTTTGTGTATAAACTAAATCTATCAAAGTACTTTTATACAGGGTAATTAACTAATGGAATCCCCCATTGGAACGTTAAAAGAAAAATTTGAAGTTTAGAGAAAAACTAGGCAGACGATTGCTCAGATTTTCTAACACAGTCTGTCTACTGTGAAATTTGTATAAACATGATGACACTTAAAAGTAAACCAATTTTTATGAGAATTAATTTTTTTTGAACCAATTATTTAAAGATATACAGTAGGACCTCTATATCTCAAATCTGAATGGGGTATGATACAAATTCTAGTTATCAAGTTTTTCGAGTAAGCAAGGTTCGAGCTATGAATGTCATGTTCTGAAAATTCAAGATACCAAAGGTGTTGGATTCTGACAATAATGTTACGTCAAGACCTGTAACTCAAAATTTTACTCGCTAAACCTTTGTAAATTGAGCTCTAGCTATTTATACGTAGGTACTGAAGGGCAACTGTAGAAGCAAAATTAAACAATTTATTATGCATACAAAGTACTGTATTTTTTAGTCGCCAATGGTAATTTAGTGTAACGATAACTTGAAAGCAAAAATCATCTGATTTGAGGTGTAAACCTAACATTTATTTAAACGAGTTTGCGAACCAGCATGATTGGACCATGGGAATGGGGTTTTGCGTTGGGGCGGTTTATTGGGTAAAAAGAGGTTTTTCTCATTTTTGACCCTCAAAACATAGAATTGCCCAATTTTTTAAAAAACATTTTGTAGAGCTTAAAAAAACAAATAGGCTAATTTAGTATCTTGAACTAAGGTTGTACGGTTATTGGCTATAGAGAAAATTAAAAAAATTGTAAATTTAAAATTCCCATGTTATTCTTAATACTGTAAGTAAATTATATTTTAAGTTTACTTGTTTATGGGATATATTTTGATCAAACCTGGCAGATTATTTTTTTTTATACTATGCTTTTTATTATTTACTAAAACACTCTTTATTACTCTCCCTGTAGTAGCAAACCTAGGTTCTTTTTAAACTAAATGTTATTTAAATAGATTTGTGAAAGTCAAATCAGGCAAATTCGCTTAGTCTGCAGGTTTGCTGCGGCGGGTATATTTTTAATTTGCAAAATCTTTAATAAGAACTCGGTTTTTATTCTTAATTTATCTAATTGGTTTAAACGGTAGCCACCCGGGTTAAAACTCAATAATTCTAAAACACAGGCATTATTTCAAAAACAAACAATCCATAATAAGCAAAATTCCAACGTTGAATTACCTCATGATAATATTTCATCCTTTTCTGAAAATGCAAAACTTTTAGGCTAAGATATTGATAATTTATTTCCCTGAGTTTTGAGTCTCACTTTATTCTGCCTCAGAATCAAAATAATGGATTTTTCCCAGTTTCTAGTAATATTTTTTAAAACTACCTCTTAAATTCCAAACACTATTAAGCAAAAACAGTTTGGGTTGTTGAGGTTACTGTTTAGTGGATCTGTTTAGTTTAGTAAATATTTTATTCAGTTTCAGTGTGTCGGATTACAACAAACCGTTCTTTAACCGTCGGCAAGAAACAATAACCCATTACAAGAGTGACGATGCCTTATCCATATCTACAGATGTCTCAAATCATCTATTCAAGGACTCCAAAGACTCTCAAAACATCTCACCAATGTGGATGACAAGCCCACCTCCATATTGTAAGTTTTAGATTTTTTTTATTCAATTTTGAAATTGAATGTACTTGCTTAATAACTAATAAAAGAATGCGGGATTTTAAACGGTCATTGCTCGGGGACTATTCAAGATAATTAAACTATTTAAACGTCAAATTGAAGAGAAAAGAACAAAGCTTTTTCTCATACTTTGATTCAATTCGGAATAATCCAATAAAATTCAGATTTTCCTCAATGTTATGAGCTTAAAACTGGCAAAGTCTATACACTTAGGGTGATCGACAGGTTTATCTGGTGCCTTATCTGAATCTTTTTAGGCACAAACACTCAATTGTGAGTCGGTGGCTCAGTCGGTAGCGTCGCGGACTTCGGGCCCAAGGCAGTAGTGTCGTGGGTTCGGATCCTGGTCACTGCCACTAACTTTTATCAGTACAGTTCACCTTTGTACTGTATCGGCTCACCCCTTGTTTGCTGGATACGTTCCACGCACAGATCTGTAGTCTATGTGGACGGGCAAATGCAAGGTTAAAAGAGGCTGCCAACCTCTTAAAAAAAAAAAAAAAATCTTTTAAAGATAACGTCATAAGTGTCGATTTATACTCTGATTATCAAAAGAATGTGCCTTGCGGAGCGGCCGTGCGGTGAGCGAGTTTGAGTATAAACATTATATTTCACAAACTTGTGGAAACGTTAGACAGAAGGTTAGAAACTTCTAATAAACGGTGTTTAAATAATCAGTTAAGCACGTTTTTAACGCATGTTTCAAATATTTGTTATCTTATTCTGATGAATTAATATTTGTAGTTATATTTGTAAAAACGCGAATTGGAATTAAAATTTAGCAAATTCGTCTTTTTACAAATATAGGCTAACTACAAATATTAATTCATCGGAATAATATACAAAATATTTAAAACATGCGCTGAAAACTTGCTTAACTGAATATTTAAACACCGTTTTCTAACCTTATGTGTTATGTTTAAACAAGTTTGTGAAATAGAATGTTTGTAGCTAAACTCGGTTGCCACACGGCCACTCCGCAAGGCACATTCTTTCGATAATCAGAGTATAGGTATGTTCAACTGAAGACTTCGTCGGTAAATCAATTCTTTCGGGCTTCTGAAGCAGTATTGTCGGATTTCCTCAACTATGTCATCGCTTGTTTAGTCAGCCAGGTGAATGTCTTTTTCAAAACACTACGGTGCCACAAAACTCATTAAACCAGCATCAAATTTCTTTATCATCAAGTAGATTTAAATTTAGTTCAATTTAGCAATCAATATAAACTCTGTGAGCCACAGATTACACTCTGTGCCTTCTGTTGCGCCGTAAACAAACTGGCGACTGGCGTCAGGCACCAGGCGTGTGAGTCGCAATAGCGGCCCCCACACCTGTTTTGTGCATGCCAAGATCAATGTTTCCTCCTTTGCTATACGGGAAAAAAACTATTTTGGCTTCAATTTGACGTATAAAACTTTTAGTTACCTTGAATATTACCCAAGTCATTACCATTTAAAATCCCAACATTCTTTTATAAACACCCTGTATTTGTTATTTCAATTTATTTTTCGCCGGTTTAAGAATACAGTTTTAGCTAACAAGAGTTTGAGAGTTCAGTTGGCTGTAAACATTGTTGACATTACAACACTTTGTTGAAAGTGGTTTAAGATTATAACACCAGTTATAATTTACCAATTTATCCAATAATTTATCAATAATTAATTTATAATAATAATACCAATAATTTATAAATTTAGGTAAGGTTTAGGATATTTAGGAGGTTGGGGGATAAGTTGAGGAAACCTTAACAATTAGCCACCAAAATACAGTTTCAAGCATGTGACTAAGAATCTAAATTGAGTTATTTCCAAAAATAAATAAACAACTTTTTGGGGTTTAACATTTTTGTAGATTTTTTGCCTAACTTTTATGTTTGTGTTTTAGGTAAGATAAAGAATAAACTAGTAAAAATAGAGAAGGATCCCAAATTGACTGTGAGTAAGAAAAGTTACAATCGTGTCATGAAAAAACGTCCTCTATTGAGAAAAAATAAACCTTTTACCAAATTGAATTCAGATGACTCAATAAAGTCAAGTTGTACTTCTAGCACCCCGACGAGGACAGATGTGGCGTTTGACAGAGATATTTGGGTAGCCTCACATGTTTCTCCCATTTTACCTACTCAAGGACTACAACCTAGTATCTTCACAAGTAGAGCTATATGTTACAAAAACATGGTATCGATTGAAGAGATAAAAAAAGAAGAAAAGCCAAATCCTATGCTTGGTTTCTCTGCATTGTTAGAGGGGTTTGGAAACTTGGGAATCCAAAGTCCTCATCACAAAAAACTTGCAGTTTTACAAGCTGATAAAAAGTCCAACCAAGAACTGTTTGATTATGAAAGCCCATTACGTCTTCCTGCAAATTGCCAAAGTAGAGAAACAAATCCAGAAAGTATAACATCAAATGTAGAATTGTTACCAGTAGATGTTGGGAGGAACTCAAATGTTTGTAAATCATTGCAGTCAAGTGAAGATAATTCAAATGATTCAAGTATTTCCACAACTTGCCAGAAGAAGTGTAATGAGGAAAATTCAAAAGAGTTTGCATCTGATCTGTCATCGAGTCCATTTTTAGGTTTCGACAACAACAGTAACGAGTCTCAAACCTCGGCTGTTTCATCTCCTCAAAGTGAAGCTGTAACAAACCCAGACCATTCATCATCTAATGAACAAAGGTTATCTTCAAACAAAATATTGCCTTCAATCTTCATAGAGGAATTAAAAAGTGATCATGAGGAACAGACAGACTCAAAAAATACAATTTCAAGCAGCAGTAAGGTATCTTCCGCCAGTCGTAGTGAAGAGTCTAATTCTATTAGTTTGGCAGAAAGCTTGGAAAAATCTGGTAATAGTGATGTAGTAAACAGTTCATCAACAATTCCTGAACATATATCTGAACAGCAACAATATCTAGAGAGCAAAGATGATCTTACTGAGATTGAAGAGAACGAAGTTGAAAATGAAAGTGTTTCGAATGAATCCTTTGAAGAAAAACAGGCTTTTGAATCAAAACCTCTAAGTGATATCACAAATTCTTTATCTCTCAAAGCTGACTGTGCAAACGGAAGAGAAACTTTGAAAAAAAAATCGGTTCCATTTAGCACAGAAAGCAAGAGAACGTCACATTATAGTTTAAGAGGCAGACTGAGCAGTTATCCTCCCAACACTGAATTGAATGAAACTTTTGCTAAATTAAGTTTAGAAGCTGGAAAAAGATGGCGGAGATCTTTACTTCGTCAGAGACAAGGTAAGGAAACTTGGTGAAACAAATTTATAGTAAGCTCCTGTACATTCTTGACTATCTGAGCCCCGGTTATCTTCACACACACACCCCCCCCCCCCCCACTTCACTAGTCCTTGGGTTTTTCAAGGTTGTTTCCCAGGCCTAAATATATAAGGCTATTTTTATTTTTTATTTTTTGTCAGAAAACAATAATTATGTTAGCAAGAATGTTTCCCTTGAAAGTAAAGTAAAAATAGTAAGTAGTTTGTGATTAGTTAAAATTAATGCTTTATATAATCATTACAAGTATTTTTTTTATCATACAAATTATCAATAACCTAGAAAATCAAACCGTAGTTGGTTGGCCACCAACCATTGGCAAGCTGGACAAGTCGTCTGCAAAACCTTTGGTCAAATCATACTTAATCGAGAGTGTATTGTAGTCACATTTCCAATAGAAATTGTTATGAAAAAATTCTATAGTCTTTATTTTTTCAGTGTTTTTTTAACAATCCAGCTTTTAAACTGTGTCACTATTTCTATTTTTTTATTTTTCTGATTATGTTACTTTTAGAACTGAAACTTTGAGTTAAAAGCAATCAATTCAATTTATTTATTCAATGTTCTAAACTAATCAATCATACTTACATTTTTTCTGTATTGTGCCTTTTTTCTATTTCGCCAAAATTAGCCGGCTTTGCTTAGAATAAACAAGGCAGCGGGGTGTATCAATATGTATGGTACATTAATTTATTAAATAAAATCTGTATGACTATATTTTCAGAGCCAAGGTTAAATAAAAGAGAGTCTCTCACATCAGAGACCATATTCAGGCTTATCAGGGAATCTAGTTTTGCAAGTGGTTTGAACATAACAAAGATGTCATACAACAACACCACCAGAATCCTCGATAGTTTTCTGGAGGAACAAGAAACAAAAGACTGTGGACCAGTCTCAAAAGGAAGCCCTGGATTGAACCTTACGCACAGTAGACTTAGTAATGTGTATATGAACAGAAGAAGAAATTATGTCTTTGATATGAATGATATACCAGAAGAAATTGCTGAACATTCCAACGATAGTGTTGAACATCTTCAGAATTTAAATGTAACACAAAACCACCAAGACACTGTGGCAGAAGAGGATGAAAATTGTGAAACAAGCGTAAACCAAACTAATGTATTTGAAACTCCTCCAATCCTTCGGTTGAATCCTGAGGCTCTTTCTACAATAACGAATAGAAAACGAAGTCGAAGAAATCTACAAAAATCATTGGGTAAGTTGAAATTATTGAAATCTCAATAGGAGGAATATCAATCACTTGGACAATTTCCTTTGTCTGAGAATTTTCACGTTTTAGTTTTCAAAAGTTGGGCTCATAGTTTGTAGTTTTTTTTTAGTCTTTGGCAAGTGGAAGGATTTCAGGTGGCTTCAGCGAAGCTAAGAAATTATTCTTGAATTTATCACAGTAACTGAGAGAAGAAATTCATGATATAGGATAGGAATATACTTTTGCTTTAATCTATCGAGATCCCAGTTTCGACCTAATGTGATCTAACTGCCATATAAGCAGTCAAAATAAGCAAGGTCTGAGGGTGGAAAGAGACAATGAGGGTCCAAGGTTTAAGATGTTCAAACTGAATCTCCAAAGAACTTGCTTGTCCTGTGAAATATTTTTTACTCCATTACAACCTATCTAGGCCTACTAATTTAAGTGTGTAGGCTACAATTAATGGAAAATCTCTAACCACTAAAATTTGAGGTATTTTGTCTACGTATATGTTATGGATTTAAATTTATAACGGATTGCTATAATATTCACAGTTCACAGGATCACAGTTCAGTTTTATATAAAAAAAGTTCAAAATATATCAATTTTGTCGATAATTATTTGCATGAATAGTAATGACAAGTTATTTAGTGCTTTTAGCAAGGTCGCTAGTCACATTTCACAAGGAGTTTTATTACCAATAAAAATCAGATATTGTTTTTAGAGTATTTTTTTAACTTTGTTGAAACTCCCGTTCTTACGCTGTCTTATCTTCATTTTCAGAAAGGAGTATTCTTTGGGATGAAGAGGAAGAAAAAGAGCCGGTAGATGAGGAAGATAACTTTTACATGTCTTGCTTAAGCGTATTGGATTTAGAAGGTAAAATGCTGCTAGTTTTGTAGTAATATTGTGAAATGTTAGCATTAAATAACCAACCAACAAATACAGAACATAAAAATTATGTTATCAAAACAATTAATTTTTAGTGTTTAAACTAAAAAAATGAACATTTTAGGAAAACATTATATTAATATTCAGATTTATTCTAATATTTTAAGTTAACTCTGATTTTGCATTTAGAATTCAGTTATTTATTATTGCACAAAATATTTCAAATATTATCAAATTTACTTGTGATTCCATTTGTTAAATTTCTTTCACGCCCCATTAACAGATCTGACTCCTATAATGTCCTGTACTAGTATCAAAATATGGAAACAAATAATGTCAATAAAAGCTGCAATCTCGCATGTTAAGATCTAGTTAACATTTAGGTTCTAGGAAGACAGTTTATTTTAATCTATATTTTAAAGATAGGATATTAATCTGTTATATTTTTTCTCACGCTAAAGATGAAATTGAAAACCTGAAGAACCAAGATGCAGCAGCTATAGGGAAAGTCGGGTTTCTGCTCCAGTGTGGACAGCAAGCTCCGATTACGTTTTCTGAAGCTTTCCCGGATGAGTAAGTTTTGATATATTGGTTAAAAACTTTGAATGGGACCAGTAGAGTTAGTTATACACTAGTCACTAACCTGAGCAACTAACCACCTACAATAGACCTGAGCAACTAAGCATAGTAATGTGGATTTGTTAAGTTTTAGAATCCACACAAAATTCTGAAAATTCTTCACAAAAAAATGAAAGAGTAATCTAACCAATTTTGGTATGTACAGTATCTGAAAACGTCCCAGTAAAATAACAGTTAATTTGTTGTGCCAATGAGTAACCAATGGACAGTCTCCAATAATTGTATGAATCAGTATTATGTCGTCTACAGGGTCTTAAGTTCTGGACGGAAGATTGGAGAAGGAGTGTTTGGAGAGGTTTTCATGCTGGAAAGACCAGGTGAAGGGAGATCTGTTATCAAAATAATACCAATTGAAGGTGCCCAAATGGTCAACGGCTCGGTGCAGAAACGCTATGATGAGGTTCTCTCTGAACTTATTATAACTGAGTGAGTAACATCTTAATAAATGCTTTTCAGTTTTCAGTTAGGAAAAGAATTGTTTTTATCTTTGACTAAGGATAGGACTAGGCATTCTATTCCCAGGTTAAAATTTTTTTTAGTTAGTTGAATTTAGCCAGTAACAGAATGTGCTGGTGTAAATTATTGGGTTAAGTTGAATACACCATCTTTTTAACCAAGTCAAACTGAAGGAAATTGTCTTTAATTAATTATAGCATCTTTTTTTGTCACACCAACTATCACAGTAAAAAAACAATTTTAGACAGTACCAACATTGACTATTGGATACTGAAGTTGTATTTAGTAGTCAAAGGTAGCACACTCTGTCATAGTCCATAAAAATTGGATGTCAATTTTAATACCGAGGACCGTTTCCATTAATTCACATCAACTATATAATTTATATTTTAAAATACACAATAGAAGTTTAACAATATCTTGGTTCTACCCTAACCTAACTCAGTATATGTCTACGTGTATATGAATATATGTGTACAATATGTATGGTACATTAATTTATTAAATAAAATCTGTATGACTATATTTTCAGAGCCAAACTAACATAACCTAACCCTAAACAGAATTTGTAGGCCTATATCATTATAATATTTTAATCTGAAAAAAAAAAAAACAATTGTGATTTAACAGGAAAGGTTCAATATCCATAATCCAATGGTTTTACTTCTACTGTCAGTTTAAGAACATGTTTTGATTTGTCCGTTTTTGTTCATCATTCAGTAATGATATAATTAGGTATACAAAGTAATATAAAGCCACTTGTGTTGAAAAATAAAGTTTTATAGGTTTTTTTACAATATTGATTGGTTTTTAAATAGCATATAGAATTAAAAAAACTTATAAACCTTGCTAGAACAAGGGAGTGTAGCAGATGCCACATGTTATGTAGTCACTAGCACAGAAAACGTACTACTATAACCCAGAATGCCAACCGCATGGTAAAAAGCATTAAGCGGTTTGAGAGAGCTTCGCCTGTCAATCCGTAGGCAGCGCCACCAGCGTTGCTATGCTATTGCATGGCAACGCTGGTGGCGCTGCCTACGGATTGACAGGCAAAGCTCTCTCAAACCGCTTAATGCTTTTTACCATGCGGTTGGCATTCTGGGTTATAGTAGTAAGTTTTCTGTGTCACTAGTCAGTAAATGGGAGAGTTTCGGAACCCTTTAGAATAAATGTGGGTGTAAGACAGGGTGATGGACTCTCCCCAATCAGCTTCAACTTTAGCGATAGAAGAAGCTCTCTGTGTGATAATTAATAAGTGGACTGTTTTTTAGATGAGTATAAAAGAAATAATAGATTGGAAAATAGTTGAACTGTTTTTGAAAGAAACATTTTAACACTGAGATATAAACAGTATCAATTAATAATCAAACACCAGCTGGTAAAATGGATGTGAACATAGTAAATCAAAAGAGTTTTAAAATAAATAATGTGGGGCTGATTATAAGTACTGAACACTCAGTGGCAACAATGGATAAATGCATTTCAATTGACTCCAGAATCAACGTTCTGGCGTTTGCAGACGATGTAGTAATTTTTACTGAAAATATAGAAGACGCCAGCTAGCAAAATTGTTTGTGGATGAAACAGGACAATTATTAAGACTTATAATAATTTTTTATGAAATGAAAAGAAAAGAAAATTATTAACTTATGGAAATGACATTCTAAGAAAGGTTTTAGGCCCAATTTTTGAAGAAGGAGAGTAAAGGAAAAGACACAATAGGTAATTTAGAAAAACTCTACAAGGATCTAGATGTGGTTTTTTTTATGTAGAAGAATTAGATGGGCTGGGAACATTTTGAAAAGAGAGGAGGATAGTAATCTAAAACAAGTTTTGATGAGAAATCCTGAAGGAAGAAGACCGAGAGGAAGGACAAAGCAATAGCGTTGGAGCCAAGTGAAGGAGAGACCTGGAGCAATTAGGAGCAACCGAGGAAGATGTAGAAAATAGGAAAAGATAGAGTTTTTCTAATTCGAACTCTCCCTCATTCTAAACCAGTTAATGTAAGTCAGAAAAAATTAATAACAAAATAAATCCGAAAACACAATATCAGTGGTCTTAGTCCACCGATATATAGGTAATATGGTTGATAGTCATAAGTCAACTATTGTTGTGGATCCATTGTGTTTTCTGGTGTCGACTGTGACGTCATTTGTAAATTGCTATCAGACATTTCACACTTAAACATAATGTATTCTCATGAGACCGGCCGCAAAAGTCTACGTAAGAACACAGTTACGATTTTTGTTTTGTCCTGGGTTCTACGATGAAGCAGGGGTGAACAAAGTTCATGGTACTTTCAACCATTCCACTTATTCAAAAGTGGTTTTTTCTGTTGATATTTGTTAATGCAGCAAAATCCAAATATTTTTTTATTCCAGAGAACTGAGCATGCTACGCAATAACAGTGATAATTGCACGGGAGGATTTTGTGAGTTGAAAGGCAAATTTTACCTCCAAGGACAGTATTCCCCCTTACTACTGAAGCTGTGGCATGAATTTGATAAGGAGAAGCGTGAGTTCAAATATTTCTGAAGTTATAATCGTTATATAGGAGTGGTTGCACTTAGTATGAATATTTAACTATACACCAACTGAGTTCTGTTTGAATTTTATCCTTGTATTTTTGAAATACCATAGTTGACTGTGGTTTAATTGGAAATCTGTAAATGACTTAGTTGAAACAATTAGTTTGTTTTGTGCTGGTGTTCCTGTACAGCAGTTCTCATAAAACTGTTTAATGTAAAATATAAGAGACCAGATTAAGTTGGATGTGACATCTTCAGTATAAGCTTGTGATGTGTTGGTACTTAAAGGCAATTCTCAGTACCACCGGTAGTTGGTATTGTACCGATAGGGAAAACCAACATTAAAATGACGGTACCAGTACTAGTGGTTGATCTGACCCTGAGTGCCAAGATACGTTTAATAAATTACATTAATAATATGTATGTGTACAACATCATCACCCCCATGGTCGTGCTTTTTTTACTTGATCCAACAACGTCATAAAACAAAACGCAGTTTGAATGGTTTGGTTGACTGAATGGCTATTGGCAGTAATGATCTAAACACGCTAATTTCCCCAGTCCTATTATTATCCTGCTCAATGAAATTTATGTAAAGTTCTCGGCTTAATACCCTCGATATGTTATATTTATAGATATGTAGATATGTTAAATTCTCGTATAATTACTAACTACAATTCAGTAGAACCTCTCATAACCGACTTCGGCATAACCGACTCCTGTGATACCCGATCGTCTATTTGATCACGGATGTTGCAGATATTGTGGCAGACATTGTCGCTATTGTCCCCAAGACCGTAAGATGTGCTCACGGGTATAGCCGCAGTTGCGAGAGATGATTACTGGAGTCGCTTAGACAACAAGACATGTTCACAGGTGTTGCCAAGGTCGTGGGAGGCGATTACTGATGTTACAGGGACCGGAAGTTATGTTCCTTCCGATATCTGGCCATGGCTTGGTCCCATCATGGTCGGATGTGAGGGGTTCTACTAAGTTTTAACACAGATTTCTTCATTTGAATTGGTTTAGATTTTTTGTAAAACTGTGAAAAGTGAATACCAACATTTTCTGACTGTTAGAATAGTTCCAACAAAGAAATTTTTTTTTAATACCTTGTCCCAATTCTGTAATTAAAATTGCAAATATGCCCTTAAATCGCAAAATTAATTATGTAACTAAAGTACTTTACAACATGCATCTGTATTCTGTAGTCAACATAAACAATTTCAATGTTTGGAGCTTACTTTTTAAACGAAGAGTACTATTTTGTTAGGTTCTTATATGTCCGGTACCGAGAATTTCTATAGGGCAGGAACTGACAAATTGGCACCGAGACATCACTACTAAAGGTTTCAGAATTCAAATATAAACTTCATTAAACCAAAAATATCAATTTAACTAGTCAAGATAGTTATTAAATTTTAAACCCTCATCACTGTCTGTGTCTGTGCAGGATCGGAGAATGAATGTCCCGATATGTTTGGGCCAGAACAGCTGTACCTGGCACTAGAGTTGGCTCATGCTGGGGAGCCTGTCGAGTCTTTCAGCTTTAAGAACCTTCAGCAAGCTTTGATAGTGTTCCTTCAGGTATATAATCACTTATCGACAACAATTCAATTATCTCTTCACATCAATTTGCTTGAGGCGGTTATTATCTATGATTAGTTAGTTATGTTTAGTATACTATACACATCTTCCAGATATTCAACGAGTGTAATGCTCTCTTTTCACAATTTTGTTTTAGGGACTTTAGGTGTTAAACAATCTGCCTTTTTTTTAAGAGTACCTTTTTCTACTTGGCTTGATATGGATAGCGCTGGGTTCACAACGATATGGTAGGCATACGGTTAAGATTCAGATTCAGATTCAGATTCTTTATTTGTCACAATACATTTTCCTCCCCAGCACAGCTGGTAAAACAGGTGACATGTCAACATCTTAAAAACTAAAAGCAAAATATACATGATACAATTGTTATGTTGGCAAAAACTTAATCAAATGGCTTAATTTTATATACATATTTACATCATATTACAAAGTGTCACATAAGAAATCATTTACACAATAGTATACTTTGTTTAGCAGCAGGGATTGAACTTCTTTCTTAAACTTATGATCATTATCAATATTTTTTATCCTGTTTGGTAGCTTATTATATAATTTTTTCCCAAAATACTGTGGCAACTTTTCAAAGGAACTTAATCTATGAACAGGAAACTGGAAATCACTTCTGTTCCTAGTCTGATAATTGTGAATGTGTTGATCTTCCATTAACATATTAATGTTAGATTTGACATAAAACAGACATTTACTAATGTACATAGATGGTAGTGTTAAAATTTAAGATACTTTTTTTGTAATTTAAAAACAGACTTCATACCTGAACTACCTCCCCAAAGTTCAACACCATACTGCATTGAAGAAGCGAACAATGCATGATATACAATCAATCTCGTCTGTAAGTCAGTAATTTTTTACAGAACAAACATTTGAAAACAAAGGGAATTTAATTTTTTTATCAAAATATCAATATATGTTTTCCAGTTTAGTTTTTCATCAACCTCGAGACCCAAGAACTTTGTTGACTTTACAATAGGAAGGTGATCATCATTTAATATTATTTGATTAAGATTTTGTTCCTGTCTTCGTGTAGTGCTAAAATTGATTACATTAGTTTTGCTACTATTTAATTTAAGACCATTGGCCTTGAACCACACTTGCAAATCTGTTAGGGAATTCTGAATAATTTGCTGTAAATCTAAAATGTTGTTTGATTTAAGAATGGCTGTAGCATCATCTGCATACAGAACAATTTTGAAATCAAAATTTTGTGCTAAATCGTTTATATAGATTAAAAACAGAATAGGACCAAGAATTGAGCCCTGGGGCACTCCCCGCGTTCCTTTCCTCCATTCAGATTTAAAAACCATATCATTTTTTTTTTATAACAGTTCTGTGGTGTCTACCAGATAGGTAACACTTAACCCAAGATAATGCGGAAGAAGAGAAGTTGTAAGCTTTTAACTTATCAAGAAGAATATCATGTACCACACAGTCAAAAGCCTTGGATAGATCACAGAACACACCAGCTGTGGTCTGCGATCCATCCAAGCCCTCCGATACACACCTGATTAAATCTGCTATCGCTAAAACTGTGCTCTTATTTTCTCTAAATCCATATTGTTCCTTGATAAATAAATTATTGTCTTCAAAAAATGATAAGATTTGTTTATTAGCTATTTTTTTCAAAAACCTTTGAAAATGCAGGAAGCAAGGACACTGGCCGATAATTGTCAATATCCAATTTACTTCCTTTTAAACAATGGTTTTATTTCTGCATATTTAATTTGGTAAGGTAATATTCCAGAAATGAGTGACTGATTTATAATGTTTGTTAATGGTTTTGAAACTTGATTGGCAATCTTTTTCAATAAAAACAAAGGAACCTCATCCCATCCTGAAGATCGCTTGTTCTTCAATGATTTGATTATTTTATTAACATGGTTTTCATCTACTGGACTGAAGTGAAAAACTGGTAAACTTTGACTCCACTCATTATTTTTCATTGCACATCTAACTGCCATTTCACTTGATGGTGAAATCTCATTCTCTAAACAAATGTCAGTAAATTTATTGTTAAAAATATCAGCTATTTTATTTCCATCTTTTAAACACTTATTTTGGAAAACAATGTCTGAAAAGTTATTTTCTTGAGTTGCCTTTAAACCTAATTCTCCATTAACAACTGACCACACTGCCTTACTTTTATCGTCTGCTTTCTCTATAAAAGAGGTGTTTGCATTTCTTTTTGCCCTAGAACAGACAGCTTTGAAATTTTTCTTAAAAACTTTACAATACTCTTTAAAGGCATGGTTATCAGATTGTTTTGCTAAGGCTTGCAATTCTCTGTTTCTAACACTTAATTCTCTAATCTCTGAATCTACCCATTTTTTTCTGTTGTTTTTTCGGTGTCCTGCTTTACAAGTTTTTAGTGGAAAACGGTTCTCGAAAATCATCTTAAATCTAGAAAAAAAAAATCATTAAAATTACATTGAACTGAATTATTTTCACTAAAATTCCAATTTTCCTCATTTAAAGTAGCCACAAACTGATCAATTTTTTTGGCTGAAAAAGACCTACTATAGCTTAGTTTCTTAAAATTAACAGAGTCACCACTAAATTCAATATTACTATCTAATGTAATAAATAAAGCTCTGTGGTCGATACTCCTAATTCCATATTTAAAGTTTGGTGTTGTTCAACTCTCATATTAATTAATACATTATCTATACAGGTATTAGTTGTAGGTGTCATCCGTGTTGGCTCAAAAAAAGTTTCCTTAAATCCAAATTGCCTAATTATGTTAAGAAACGAATCTTTGTGAGTAGGGTACCTACAGTTATCTAATGTATCAACATTAAAATCTCCAGCGATATAAATTTGTTTTTTTTTTAGTTCTTTTCTTAGCAACAATAGCAAAGCTTCTAATTTACAGAGAAAATTGTTAATATTAGCCCTATCTGGTGTACGATATAATGATATTACAATACTTCTTAGGCTAGGTATTTCTATTGCACAACCCTCAAACACAGCTTCTTCAAAATAAATATTTAAATCATCTCTGTTTAAAAAAGCTAAATTATGCCGAATAAGAATACATGTACCACCATGAGTACCCTGTGATCTACAAAAGTATGTTGCTAGTTTATAATTTACCAATGTATTCAGGAGCTTAACATTAGCTGTATCCAGAAAATGCTCATTTAAGCACACAATATCAATATTTGTATTTTCTAAAAAAATGTTTAACATATTAATCTTGAATGTTATACCACCCTGTATGTTAAAATGCATCAACCAAACATTTTTATTATCTTTAAAACAAGCAGTATCTAAAGGACTATCGTTATTTTTTCTATTACATTGTTTCAATTTGCATTTACTACGGGTTTTACAACATTTTCTAAAAAAGGTACATTACTTGTATCAGTTGAAGTGGATTTACCATCGGTTACATTATTTCCTAGTGAATTACATTGAACTGCTAAATTTATTGAAGGCAAAGCATGGGTTGAAAAACCTGAAAAACTTTCCATATGGTGTGTGTTCCTTGCTGCCACTGGAGTAGTTTTTTCCTGTAGCGGGGATGTCGGAGTACAGGTGATAGGTGTGGATGAGGTTGCCGCAGATGAATTGTAGGAGGTCAATAGCATGACTTCATCTTCACTGTCTTCCGCATCCATGAGTGAAGAAGGGGAGATGGAGGTACCCGCGGATTGTGCTAATGGATGGTCTGTTGGTTTCTGCACTTTTAATTTGGTGTTGTGTTCTGTGACGAGTTCTGTGAGTCTGTTCATAAGTTCGAGATGACTAAGTCCGCCTCTTATCACTCTAGTAGACACTTCATTATACATTGTGATGTAAACCGTAGCCTTAGTTTTGGTTTGAAAATCTGTTATATTTTTTGCAAAGTGTTCAGGAAGAATTCCATCCCTAGTACACCCCATAGGAGAACATACTAGTGTTTTTAAACCCCTTTTAATAAAATCTGCAGTGAGTTGTGTAAAAGCTTTGTCATAAACCTCAGTAGATGGTTTTTTGAAGTAGGCTGGCTTCGTGACAAGACCATACACGTACGCTCCATTTTTTACTCTCTGACAAGTGATGTTTTCATCAACAAAGTCCGTATTACAGGGTCTACCGAACTTGCGCCTAAAAACAACAGCCACTCCAGAAGACATATTTTTAGGGTCGTTAAAATCCGAAGATATACAGTGAGCGAAAGCTAAGGATGATTTACCCTTTAGCTGCTCAATTGTGTCATACATGTTGGATTCTACAACATTGATGGCAGTATCGGTGGAAAAAATTGATGTACCATTAGAAGATGTGTCTTTTTCAACCAGAAGATGCGCCACAGTTTTAGCTATGTCTGTTTTCCCTCTCTTGTTAAAATGTAGGCCGTGAGTTGTAAAAAAGTGCCGAGGAAGTATATGTAAAGGGAGCAGTTTTACGTGGTTTTTCTTCGCTACTATGTTTTCAATTTCCACATTGACTCTGCTTATCTTTAGGTCCAAGTTCGGTGTATCATGTCTCATCGGTAAGCTTGCTAAAATAAGGTTTGTATGTTCTGTTTTACTAATAAGACTTTGAACATCATTAATAAGCCGACTGATACCCGTTGTTTCCATATTGTTAGTTCCGGCTATAACCATGAGGTAATCTTGTTTGTCCAAACCTTTGGAAAGTTCCTCAATTTCCTCTGTCACCTGGTTAAATTTAGCTCCTGAACTAACAAATGAGCAAACATTGAAGGGTGCTCTTTGTTCGATTAAACTGCTTAAGTGTTTGCCATGACTGTCTGCTAGAATCACCAGTTTTTTCCTAGATTTATCAACTTTATGTCTTGTTTGAGATTTATTATCTATTTTGCAGTTACTATTTACAAGCCCGTGAAATGACTTACTATAAGCTATTTCTTTGTTAGGTACATTGACTGCAGGAATGTAAATAGGATTTATAGGATTTATAGGATAGGATTTAAATAGGATGTAAATAGGATTTAGCGGAATGTCTTGTGAAAGTAT